CTGTTCAGAAAGGTGCTAGTATTAAGGTTGCAGTCTTGTAATTGACTGCTCCATAGGCTTACATGCAAAACAGCTGATCATTGAAAAAATTTTAAAATAAAATGCTACATAGAAAATTTTTTTCATGTGCATATCATGTATGTAGTAATGTGAAATTGTGATTTAATTGAAAAAAAAGTGGGTCATGCCACGAAGAATAAAAAGTTATGTAACCCTGAAGTCAAAACAATTTTTTTCTTTCTGTTTGCTGTTTTTACTAGGCCACACCACTTCCAGTAAACATGATATCCTTCCACTTTCCTGGTTTGATATCCCCCTAAAGATGCAAGATTTTTTTTAAATCTAAATATATGTTTCAACTCAGCATAAACTTTTAATCAAACAGAAAAAATTGAGTCAAGAAAAAAATGGACTATTTTATTTCATGCCATGTTTTGACATGCACCGGAAACTGGAGTTGTAATACAAGACTGGTACCTTAAGACCTTTTACATATGCAACAGAGTTGCATCCCTTTTAAAAGAAATTTGATATTTTGAGGGGGTAGTATTCTTTTTTATGATAAATATGATATGATTATGCACCTCCTATTTTTATCTTTAAGAGGGTAACCTATGCTAAACTATATACGTTTGTAATTTGCTATTTAAATGAATTTAGCTAAGTATCAAAGTTGTTGAAAATTTCCTCTCTTTCCCAATGCATTGACCCTTTGTCATAACTTTCTAGCCAAGTAATGACAACAATGAGCCCTTAACTCTTTATTTCCAAAATTGATGAAAGCTGATCTTGTTCCTGCTGACTTCAATGGTAAACTGAATTTAGGAATCCATGTAAGTACAGATGGTGCTTTTTATAAGCGAAACATGGTGAAAAATAACCTTTCAACACAACAAGAAGTGGAATAAAACTGACAAATGGAATAAAACTTTACAAGAAACCACTGTCTTGTAACTCCCACAAAACCTCTTGTTTGATGTTTATCTTGGCTATTCTTACACTCAAATTCTCATAGCATATAAATTAACTAATTAATGAAAGAATGTGAATCATTGTTGATTATTCACAGATAATATAAAAATAAGGAAATTTGGTATGATTGCCAATGAGACAACTATCCAATAGAGATCAAATGATGAGGATGTGAGCAACTTTAGGTAATTGCACAGCTTTTAGCAATGAGCTCAACCTATAGTGTATAAGCAGCTATAAAAGGCACTGATATGACAATATGTGAACATTTCAAACAAGAAAACCAACAGCATGGTTTATTCTAAGACAATAAATTAAAAACAAGTATGATAGACAATAAAAAAACAAAAATGATAGACAAACAATCAATGACACCACTGAATTAGAGGCTCCTGACTACGGACAGACACTTAAAGTATGTGAAGAGGTTAGAAATGTTTGTGATTGTCATCCCTCCCCTAACCTGAGACAGTGGTGTAACAGTTACTGAAGCTAGTTCAAAGCCAATTACAACTAATAAATAAATCATGTTTTCCCAGACTAAAATATCAATGAGTACACATGATAAGTCTTCTGTAATTAAATCAAGATTATACAGGTACATAAACAAAGGTACCCAGGAATTGATTACTGGGTGATGAAACTGTAACTGCAAGAAAAACATTTAGTAGAATAAACTGATCTTTTAGAGGTGTTTTTAATAAACATGATAGATAAATACTTGACCAAACTTTTGAACTGTTTATTCTCTGATATAGAATTGATATTCATAGTATGGTCACAGCTGTCAGGACTGTATTAATGAAAATGGTTATTGACACTTAAAGGACTTCAGAAAAATTTAGAAAAATTGTCCAAGCACTATATTTCTGTTGTTGTGGATGAGGATTACATTTAATTTGTCCAATGACTTCCAGCATAGATACTAACAATCATAAAAAAATTATACATAATATCAATGTTTACAAGACCAGGCTTATCAACATGTAATCTCTATAAAAAATGGCTGCTAACATATAATAATTTATGATATACATAGAAATATGACAGTCTTTTGTGACATAGAAATAAAACAGTTGTTTTATGACATAGAAATATGGCAGTTGTCTGTGACAGTCACATAGAAACATGACAGTTGTTTGTGACATAGAAACATGACAGTTATATGTGACATAGAAACATGACAGTTGTCTGTGACATAGAAACATGATCTGTTGTATGTGACATAGAAACATGACAGTTGTCTGTGACATAGAAACATGATCTGTTGTATGTGACATAGAAATAAAAAAGTTGTTTGTGACATAGAAACATGACAGTTGTTTGAGAAATAGAAACATGCCAGTTGTTTGTGACATAGAAACATGACAGTTGTTTGTGACATAGAAACCTGACAGTTGTTTGTGACATAGAATCATGACAGTGGTTTGAGAAATAGAAACATAACAGTTGTTTGTGACATAGAAACATGACAGTTGTTTGTGAAACATGACAGTTGTTTGTGAAACATGACAGTTGTATGTGATATAAAAACATGACAGTTGTTTGAGAAATAGAAACATAACAGTTGTTTGTGACATAGAAACATAACAGTTGTTTGTAACAGTATGACAGTTAAGATAGATACATGTCCAATATCAATTTTTTAATAATTCTAATTATAGTTGTGCTACTTATTTTTAGGCACATTGAAGCTATTGTCAGACCCAAAATGACAGTTGTTTTAGACATTGTCATAGAAATATGACAGTTGTTTGTGACATAGAAACATGACAGTTGTTTTTGACATAGAAATATGACAGTTAGTTGTGACATAGACATATAATAGTTGTTTATGAAATTCATTTCATAATTTGACAGTATATCTAGACTTAGACTGATATTGCATTTTTTTTTATTTCCAACCTTTTACTATTCTTCACTTTTGATAGATTGGTTTTATTTGGCCAAGGAGAAATGCTATTATCTGGCATGCTAAAGACAAACTTGCTACCACTGAAATTGTAGGGCCAAATGAGCTACAGAACTACATTTGTAATGCCATTACACATTTGGTATTGTTTTATGTTGGCAAGCATCCAAGGTAGAAACACCTATAACCGTTAGTGTATTGAAACCATCAAAATGATGATCTCTGCTTAATCCCTGGTATTTACATTTTTGTAGCTTTTTAATGATCATTATGTTTTGTAATAGTTTTCTGACATTTATGTACTTGTTGAAAAACATATTTATTTGAAAATGAACAGTAATCTAATCACTGAATCTGTTTTGTCTTATACAATAATTTTTTTACATTTATTATTTTGAAGATGATAGCCATCATTTCAAACATATATTTCAAATTGACACCTGGAGTTTATAATTTAGATAAATAATGGTTTCCTTGGTTTGTTTACGATTTTTCCAAACTATTGCCAGAATCACTTTGAGGAACCGTTGGATTCCTTCCAATATATTTGCTGTAATGGCTTCTGCCTTATACCTTGTAAATAACTTTGGATCTATTATATATACACTTTACACTAAAGAATAAGAATAATTTGATGTAGTTACATGATATAAGACAGAGCCAACTGATTGATATCTGCTCTCTGCTGAATAATATTTGGTCATTATAGACAATAATTTCAATAAAGTTCTATTGCTTGAATCTTTTACAGCAAGTAGTAACTAGTTTAAAAGTAACATTTGAATAGGGGTTTTAGGGAGTTAAAATTGAAGATCAAAGTATAGTCTTATTGTACAAATTAATTTTCATTTAAAAGTATCACCAGTCTTCTGTAGTGAATTAAGTTGCCTTCAATTTACAAAAAGTACAGACAGAATGTAGTCTACATCTATATGATTTAGTCTTTTATTGAAATTGACAGCAAAATAATGCAAAACCTTCTAATGACATACACAACAATAATACTGTCTGTTTTGCACAAAGTAACCATTTATACAGATTTAAGGTTATAATACTGGCTATCTGTACAAATACATTGTGTGTCTGGTTAATTCAGCCATGCATACCTGTAACAATCTTCTGTACAGAAATCATAAAATAATACTATCCCTTATTTTAATTTAATTTTTTAATTTAGGAAGAAACTATTGTAAATCTATACACAGATTTGGAAGGTGCTTATAATTCCTGTCTCTACTGTATTTCTTTGTAATTTTAGCAGAATTACTTGAGGATGACAACAAGTACTCATGTATTGCTCAGTAGTACTGAGTATCGAAATCAGTTTCCTGTTTGAACATTGCCCCTTTCTTTCAAAAAAAAATTGAGCTTTCTGGAAAATGCCCCTTGGAGAGTTAAATAGAATTCAAGGAATAATAATGGTTAAAAAATGTTTTGTATGTTTGCTATTAAATGCCATCTGAAATCTTCCCCTATAAAATACTATAAAAGAAACATTGTCAGTGTAAACTTTAACTTTGTGATGTTGAACTGAACCATTCATTTCATTGTTATGGAACTACAAACATGTGACACCATATTAGAGTGAAACAACATAAGTTTAAAACTGTCGATCGGTGTTAATTTAATTATTAATTGGATTATTGTTTACTTTATTAGTACAAGAAGTAATCGAGTAATTTGTTATGGTACATTATTCCTATCATTCATGGTCCCATATAATAATGAAGGGATTAAACATCAATAAGACAAAGAACCTGAAAGAGTAACGTGCATATAATTGTCAATTTTGTAGTCATTTTCCAAGCAAGTACTTGAGTATTGCTAGGTAAACCAACAAGTATTTGAATAGTAATTCTTCACCGAGTTGACATCCCTACTAAAATTCATAATTAATCTGTTACCCCTTGACAACACTAAACCATATATTAATGATGCATTTACATTTCAAAACATGGGTTGATAAAAATATTACTTAGGTATGGTTCTTAAAAAAATCAGCAAAATCAACTGATTTTCTGTTTAAAATGCACATGATCATACATTGTGTTGAATTCTTTCATGAAAAATATATTTCTATTGACTTTTGAGAACCCTGTCATTCTTTCATTTTCAGACTAATCTTACTGTTCAAACTGGAAAAGATGTGAAAGAAATTATTAAGAAAGACAATGAATTAATAAAGGAGAGAGACAAGGAAAATAAGGAGTTATCTCCCTCTTTGACTACAGCAACATCTACAATCACAACAGTCACAGATACATCAAAAGACACAAAACGACATGATGCTGGCAAAACTTTACAAAATGTTAATATTCCTAAATTTTATTATCCATATGGAAAACCAATTAACAAAGAAGAGACAGAAAAAATATTGGACAAAGTGTCAAAAGAATTCTCTAAGTTAGAGGGTGGAAAAGCCTTTCTACATAATTTTGGACCAATTACTAAGGTTTGTATCTTTTATAAACTTAAATTCTTGTAGATGGGAAGAGGAAATGTATATCATTATATATTACAGCCCATTCTAATAAGCAAAGTGATGACAGAGTGATAGTTGGAATTTGTCAAGTTTCTTCATTTTTTTAAAAATTATTCCAAATTCTGTAAATGAAAGAAGTACATGTAATTTTGATATCCCAAGAACATGCTGTTTATAAATTGACTGGCTATAATTAAGTGGTCCTTGAGTACAGTGTTAAAATAGTTATGATCAGATCGAGTTAACAGTTCTGTTTTGGGCGTGATCTCAGTGTATATCATCAATTATATAAGTACGTAGGTATAGTGTAATCAGGAAGAGTTATCAATTACACATGAAATAGACATAATTAAGTAAGTGTTAATAACAGGACCTTGATGAGTGTTACCTCAGAATTCTACAATTTCACTGACACTGATAGAACAATAATGTGGCAGATCTTTAGTTTCTCAGATTATTTCTGTTAGATTTTATACACAACAAAATATGTATTAAGATTGTTTGTATTGTAGATGTATTTCATCATTTCTGGTATTGTTTTGGAATCACGAAATGGTTCCTCCAAGTTTATGTGACTTCCTTAGTAGACCTTGGTAATCATTGGTATATTAGAGAGTACTTTTCTCTTGATTCAGAACAATTATTTAGGAAGTAAAGGAAAGTGTGTGATATATATTTTGCTGTGTTTTCTCCTTTTACCTAAATAAAAAAAAAAATGATAAAACAACTTTTGTGAGGAATAAAAAGAAATGGGAGCCTTCTATGTTTCTTTTTAAAAATGACATAGTAAGCAATAATGCAGTTTTACATTTTGAAATTTTCAAGATTAAATGACAAAATTAAAGAAGCATATTTGTTAAACAGAATGGTAATTAGGAATTTATAACCTGCTCAAAAGAATGATTTGACATAATAATCTCAGAATTTATCTAAGTTCGAGGATATTTTTAATTTGAAATATGACCTGTCTATAAACTCATGGACAGATAGGACACCCTGATTACATATTTTAAATGATTTAAATCAGCAATAATTACTATACTTCAATAGTTGTAATGTGCCACAGCATTGAAATATCTCGGTGTTGGAAGTGGACCATTGGTATATATTAAGTATGAATTCAGGAATCTTAGTAGTCCAATAGATTTAACAGAACATAAATAGTAATTTAATCAGATTCACTTTATATCAGTTGTTAGACAACAACTGAAACCCCTGTATAACATGTGTAATAGTACTATATTAAAAGGATAACAGGATTTAACAAATTCTGCACATAAAACCTTGATGGCTATTTACATTTAAATAAGGGTATGGTATTCTGTAACTTTTGAGTAACAAGTAAATAGATTTTGATTCAGGGCTTCCAAAATTATTTTTAGCCAGCCGGACATTTTATATATCATCCCGATTTTAATCCCTTAAGACTAAATAAACAAAAGGCAATTATGGTAATCAGTTGCCGAGTTGGCCATCCCAATGATTGACATTAAAAGTAAAACAAAACGATATTAAACTTTCTTTGATTCAAATTCTAAGTTCTGACGTAAACTTGTTAAATTGGCAGTGCATCATTCGAAGTGTGCAACATCAGCGTACTTATATCTGCCTTAGACTCTTTATTTGTGCAAAATAACATTATTTTTTCGAGAAAATATTCGAAATAAACGTGAGATAAAGGTATCAATGACAATTTAAGCATTTTTTGAAGAAATTAGGATGCGTAATTAAATTTCACACCTGCGCACACGTGTACTAGTTCAAACATGTCTCTGGTTCAAAATGACGATTTTCATTTTCACCTTTTTGATTTTTTCATCAAATCATATTTAAGTCTCCCAAACGAAGTTTGGGAAGACTTATTGTTTTTGCTCAGTTCTTATTAAGTCTTCCAAACGAAGTTTGGGAAGACTTATTGTTTTTGCTCAGTTCTTATTATTATTATTATTCTTCTTCCTCTTCCTCTTCCTCTTCCGCCGCTTTTAAATTTGAACTTGTCCGCACCCGTTCTCCAAAACCGCTTGTCAGATTAACTTAGGGTTTCACAATATGTTAGACTAACATGTCTAGTGGTGCAATCAGGGTTTTGTTTGTGCAATGGGGTTTATAAAGGGGTACTTTGAGGGGCAAAAAGAAAAGAGGGTTTTACTATAGAACCCTATGGGATTTTATTTTTTTAAATTTTCAAATGATTATAAATTAAAAACCGTTTGTGATAGACACAATCTTTTTAATTGAAAATGTTCTAAATGATAAAACCCATTAAATGAAATACAGGGTTAGTCCCCAGGGGTCATCCCCACCCCCTGCCATTTAAGAAAGTTCTAATACCTTGTAAGTAGTCAAGATCCCCACCCCTAAACCATATATATTCTGGTTTGTCATGCTAAGATGGTTTGAATGATATACAGGGTTAGTCCCCAGGGGTCATCCCGACCCCCTGCCATTTGAGAAAATTCTAATATCTTGAAAATGGTCGAGATCCCCACCCCTAAACCATATATATTCTGGTTTGTCATGCTAAGATGGTTTGAATGATATACAGGGTTTGTCCCCAGGGGTCATCCCGACCCCCTGCCATTTGAGAAAGTTCTAATATCTTGTAAATGGTCAAGATCCCCACCCCTAAACCATATATATTCTGGTTTGTCATGATAAAGCACATGAAATGAAATACAGGGTTAGTCCCCAGGGGTCACCCCCACCCCATGCCATTTAAGAAAGTTCTAATATCTTGTAAGTGGTCAAGATCCCCACCCCTAACCCATATATATTCTGGTTTGTCATGCTAAGATGGTTTGAATGATATACAGGGTTAGTCCCCAGGGGTCATCCCAACCCCCTGCCATTTGAGAAAGTTCTAATATCTTGTAAATGGTCGAGATCCCCACCCCTAAACCATATATATTCTGGTTTGTCATGCTGAGATGGTTTGAATGATATACAGGGTTAGTCCCCAGGGGTCATCCCGACCCCCTGCCATTTGAGAAAGTTCTAATATCTTGTAAATGGCTGAGATCCCCACCCCTAAACCATATATATTCTGGTTTGTCATGATAAAGCACATCAAATGAAATACAGGGTTAGTCCCCAGGGGTCATCCCGACCCCCTGCCATTTGAGAAAGTTCTAATATCTTGTAAATGGTCGAGATCCCCACCCCTAAACCATATATATTCCTATTTGTCATGTCTCAAACATTTGAATGACGTATACGGTCAGTCCCCAGGGGTTCCCCCCACCCCCAATGTTCTTATATCTTGTAAATGGTTGAGATCCCCACCCCTAAACCATATATATTCCTGTTCCTCATGTAATGAACATTTGAATGACGTATAGGGCCAGTCCCCAGGGGTTCCTCCCCACCCCCAATGTTCTAGTATCTTGTAAATGGTCGAGATCCCCACCCCTAAACCATATATATTCTGGTTTGTCATGCCAAGATGATTTGAATGATATACAAGGTTAGTCCCCAGGCATCACTAATGCATATAACTTTACTGGACCAAACCAATTTTCACTGGATGTGGCCCAATGTCAGGCGACCCTGGGAATTACGAATTATGGGAGCTTCGTTTGGGAGACTTCGTAACAGCATCCTGTTACAATCATTTCTTGTTGTAAACGTATTTCTGATAAATTTTTTTGACGAAATTTATTAGATGCAAACCGCTGAAATGTAAGAAAATAACTTTGAATAGACCGATCAATGTCCGGTTCAAAATAGTTACCCGACTCCTGAACAGGTAAATTTCAGCTGTTCAACAACTAATTAGCCTTGATTAAAATGAGAATGTATTAAAGTAAGGGTTGTTTTGATAGTACTTAATGATCATGTCACTTTTATGACCGGAAATGTGTGGCTGTTAAAGGCAAAAGGTTGGGTCAAAAAGATCGGGAATTATGTTAAAATGGCCGTCTCTTAAGGAAGCCTTGATACTAAAAAGTAGATTACCGTTTCATGCTTTGCCCAGCCGGACATTTACCGGACATTATACAAATGTCCGGCATATATGACCGTTTTGGAAGCCTTGTTTTGATTAATGAAACAAGGTTTCTTCATTGACATAAATTTGCTTTAATTAGAAAAAGATTTGAACTCAATCATTGCGAGTATTTAAGGCTCTAGTCTATAGAACCTACAATCTTTTACTATACTATATGACTATAGCAGCTTTTGTTATAATTTTTAGTTGTGTTAGTTCACAATTCTCTAGATTTTTGTCACCTTGACAAATTTGAAAAACCCAGACTTAGTCATGCTGTTTCCAGTGGGGGATGTCGACAGTGGTAACTATTTTAGGTCAGTTTAGGGGAACTACTAGTGGTAGGTCAATGATTATTATGATATTTGGTATGCAATTGTATAAGCATTGGCACATCTCATTTTCATAGGGATTATTTGACCCTGCTACTTCAGTCATGGTTAATTGTCTCTTTGACACATTCCCTGTTTCCATTCTCTATTCTGTTGACTTTTCCTTAGTCATGGTTAATTGTCTCTTTGACACATTCCCTGTTTCCATTCTCTATTCTATTGACTTTTCCTTAGTTATGGTTAATTGTCTCTTTGACACATTCCCTGTTTCCATTCTCTATTCTATTGACTTTTCCTTAGTTATGGTTAATTGTCTCTTTGACACATTCCCTGTTTCCATTCTCTATTCTATTGACTTTTCCTTAGTTTCTAAGAGGTCAGTTTAAGGTGGACCACTAGTGGTGGGTCAAAGATATTTGGTAGGCAGTTGTATTAGAATTAGTACATCTCATTTCCATGGAGGGTATTTGGCCCTGCTCTTTCAGTCATGGTCTATTGACTTGATACTTTTCATGAGTTTACATGTTAAAAGTTTGTGATTAGGTCAGTTTAAGATGAATGTGATTAGGTCAGTTTAAGAAAAACCCCTTATGGTATGTCAATGATATTGGTAGGCAGTTGTAAAAGCATTTGCATGCCTCATTTCCATGGATATTATTTGGCCCCGACCCACACGATCATGGTCTTTTGACTTTTTAAACTTTTGTATTGTTTACATGTTAAAGTTTGTGTTAAGGTCAGTTTAAAGGAAACCACTTATGATAGGTCAATGGTATTTGGTATGCACTTATTATAGTACTAATAGTAGTTCTGCATTGAACTAGACCAACACGCTGCCAGACCTGGATTTTTATCATGCTATAAAAATATAAAAATAAAGAGATGTGGTATGATTGCCAATGAGACAAATATCCACCAAAGTTGAAATGAAATGGATGTAAGCAATTATAGGCAACCGTATGGCCTTCAACAATGAGAAAACCCCATACTGTGTAATCGGCTGTAAAAGGCCCCGACATGAAAAATATGAAACAATTCAATTGAGAAAACTTACAGCCTAATTTATAACAAAACAATTTATGAAATATAAATATGACAGGCAGGAACCAATGACAACCACTGAACTACAAGATCCTTACTTGGGACAGGCACATAAAGAATGTGGCAGGGTTAAACATATTTGTGAGTGCTTAACCCTCCCCTCACCTGGGACAGTGGTGTAACAGCACAACATAAAAACAAACTATAAAAATCAGTAAAAGGCTTAACTCATCAGATTGATACAAAGCAGAAAAACATAAAACAAAAACACAGACCGAACGTGGCAGGGTATTTATCCTTCCCTCATCCCTAACAACAAAAAAGACACTAAGTACAGATCTGAGAGTACTCACAGTTACTGACAGTCAATAACAACTAATAAAAAATCATGTATCTAAGACTAAAATATCAATCAATAGATCACCAAAAAAAAAGCACATTCAAAATGAGGAAAAGTATGTGCAATGCAATATGTTAGTGTATTAATGCAACATGATAATGGACTAAGGAAAATCTATTTTGCTATATTTAAAATTGTAGATTGAAAATAAATAAAATTATATAAAAAACAATTTGGAATAGCAAATTCTATAAAATTCATTTGTAAGCACTTATATTTTTATGCTGAGAACAAACTAACTTCAAATTAGTCAAATGTCAAAAATTTGGCAGAACATAAAAGAAATTAATTGAAAGTGTGTCAGATCTTCTAAAGTTGATTATTTGCTGTTATTCATGCTGTCTGTTTTATCCAATCTGGTTACCTCTGTGCTTTATGAATAATCCAGATGTATACAGAACAAAAAATATCATAATAACCTGTTTTGAAATAATAACTTGGTAAACGAATGGTGTGATTAAGAAAATTGGTTGAAAGATAAAGAATTACTGCAGACTTTTTCATGTTATATATTGAGGGTATGACTATTATGATAATGAAAAAAGGAAATGAAAAGGTCAAGATTTTCCCACAGTTAAAAATCTCAGTATTATAATGAGAGAGATCTGAAGCTTAAGTAAATGATATAAAATCTCAGTGTTATAATGGGAGAGATCTGAAGCTTAAGTAGATGATATAAAATCTCAGTATTATAATGAGAGAGATCTGAAGCTTAAGTAAATGAGATCTAAAGCTTAAGTAAATGAGATCTGAAGCTTAAGTAAATGATATAAAATCTCAGTGTTACATAATGGTAGAGATCTGAAGCTTGACCATTCTAGATGGGATATATGGTATACTGTTGTCCCCAATCTTTCTGGTAAGACTTTTTACAATAACTCATTCTTGTTTTGAACCAAAAAATAAATTCTTAAAATTCTAATTGATTGCAAGAGCTTATAAAAAAGAGATGTGGTATGATTGCCAATGAGACAACTCTCCACAAGAGACCAAATGACACAGAAATTAACAACTATAGGTCACCGTACGGCCTTCAACAATGAGCAAAGCCCATACCACATAGTCAGCTATAAAAGGCCCCGAAATGACAAATGTAAAACAATTTAAACGAGAAAACTAACGGCCTAATTCATGTACAAAATAATGAATGAAAAACAAATATGTAACATAGCAAGAAACAGCAACCACTGAATTACAGGCTCCTGACTTGGGACAGGCACATACAGAATGTGCAGGGTTAAACATGTTAGCATGAGCCCAACCCTCCCCTAATCCTGGGACAGTGGTGCAACAGAACAATACAAGAACTGTACAAAACGATAAACACACAATACATATGATCAACAGCAACAAATAACGACCACTAAATTACAGGCTCCAGACTTGGGACAGGCACATATTAATTCCTTTTGTTTCTGACAATGATATGTGAAATGTTCTTTGAAAGTAATAAGATTTTAAATGACTAAGGAAATGTATGATCTGTATGAGAAAACTCCTTAACAGTTACATGAAATACTGTCAGTTTATGATCAATAACCAATACAACTGACAGTCTAGGTATCATGGAACCCCATGATAAGTAGAACTACCTTTCATATTTGTATTGGTCTAAATGCTATAATGGCCTTAGATGAAAAAGTTACAGATAACTGTTTAGAAAAGTCTAACAATAATATTATATGAGTATTTACAACAGTTAAACATTAAAAATATAGTGTATGAAACAGAATGTGTCTGAGCTCCTGATGATATATACAGATTGTCTATTCAATTACTGTATTTTTTTTATGCCATCAGCAGTAGATAATTTGTAAACAGTCCTGAAAAATAACTCATTACCAATAAATACTGACTACCCAACATCTCTCTTAATTTATCATCCCAAACCTCAAGTTTATAGTTACTCCATCTCCTGCCTTCTGATATTATTGGACAGCTTTGATCTATGAAATTTCATTTGTGTAGTTAGTAACAATACATGGTAATAAGATGTTTTCCACTCACAAAATAAATTTTCATTTTTTTATTCTGTATTTATTTGTTTGGTTTTTTTATACCTTTTTAATCTATTTTAGGTCATTAATCTACCTCTGTACTGGAAGAGTTTGTTATATACGGCTTCAGGAGGGAACAAAAATGGTTATGTTACTTTCCAAATGTTTGCTGCCATGTGGAGAAAGTAAGTGTTGTACAGAGTTACTTAAAGGGGAAAAAATATGTAGCATAAAATTATTTGCACGTGATACAGCCTTTCTGCACTAAAACATTATATTCTTTTTAGCTTATCAGGCCATAACGCAACATGGAGGTATTGCCATCACTTGGCATCCATATTAGTCATCATACATTTTTTGAAAGATCTTCTCACAAGAAACTACCGAACCAATTTCAAATAAAGTTTGAGTGAATTATCCATAGAGTATCTTGTTTAAAGTCTGGTCAGTCAAAAAACAATGGCCCCCATGACTAAAAATAGAACATAGGCATAAGATGTATCAGTTGACCCATATCTTGAAAACCATAAGAGATAAAGAAAATCTGATGAGGCAAATTTGCTGAAAATGATGAAAGATCTACTTACTTCAAATGTTCACCAAATAATCTTGTTGCATTGAATCATTTTATTTTTACCAAAACTGTCAGGTGATCTATACAAGCTAATGAGAGCTTCTTGTTTTATACTATTTCATATGCCATTTTTGACAACAGACAGGATAGCCTAAGTGGCAGATCTAGTTGCTAGGTAAATAATTACTGGTTATTTTTAAAAAGATTCATGATTTTGACATTCTTTGATCGTCACAGTTAAATTCATTCACAATTTTTTTATGTTTTTTTTATAGCTTAACATACGTGTCTATTGTCTGTTTACATTGAACTTCAGATTGATATATTTTTTTAGTGTCTAATTTAAAAACAAAAATTTGTTTCAAATTATGTAAACATAAAAATTGCAGACATTGTCAAAATATTTCTATATAATAGGTTCCACACTATGCATATAATTTTTCTATCAAAATATCTTCAGAAAAATGGTTTCAGGATGCTTTATCAAATAATATGTATGCCATTGCAACTTTACTTGGATTTCTGGTCATATATAATATGAGGAAAAATCATAATAGAAAAGAATCATACCTTAAATATACAGAAATAAATGTACCTATGCCATCAGGTCACTATAAGCATTTCAGATTATGGGAGGCAAGGGGTATGTTAGTCTGCTCACTCAAGGTTTGTTGACTATATTTTCAGAGTAGTTTCTTGATTTTCTCTGAATGATTAATCATTTTATTTTTAATTTCAGAGTATTTTCTGTTTGCCACGATGCTGCTTCTCGGTTTGTAAAGTTACTAACAGTACACAGTCCACAGGGCAGAGATTATGTAGATGAATCAGATTTAATACCTTTAGTTCAGGTAAAGTGTTACTATACATTAAACCATGCAGTCATATGACATGTAATGGTGTGAATATACAAATTCTGCCAGCAACATTAACACAAATGTCCATTTTGTTCAAAATACAACTGACTTTGCTATTTTGATTTTGATGCAATTATTTGCATCCCATGTTCTATTGGAATTGGAACACAAAATGAAAAAAGAACGTCATATTAGAATATGAGGTAAAACTCAATGAGACAGAATCACATTATTGATGAACATCTATAAATGTAATTGAAAAGTTGTCCACAATCAAGAGGTACCAAACCATAGAGTAAGTTTTGAATTACATTTATTAAATACAGCTTCCTGCTTATAATTATGTTAGCTATTTAGAAGTGTGACAACTTTCTGTAATGTTTTTTCCTTATTTTTAGGATATTGTAGAAACACATCCGGGGTTAACCTTTCTACAAGAAGCTCCAGAGTTCCATTCTAGATATGTAAACACTGTAAGTTAAAACACTAAATTAATTACAGGCATATTGTTATCCATAATATATTAATACTAAAGCAACAAATGTAAGGATTTTCTACAAAGAACAGGTAACTCAAACTTAAAGAGATATAGTTTAGATTGTTCTTGCATTAGGAACCTCCTCTTGCATGCACAAACTTTCTACGCGTTTATTAGCAAATGCATTTTGTATGCACCTTTGAATGCAAAATGCTCCCAACAGTAGAATATTCTTGAATTCTTTGACGTCATATGATCAGTAATCTTGGTTGATTTTGCCCTAAATTCTACAAACTATCTTTTGGGAGAAGAAAATATTATATAGGTAACATTTAACGGCACAAATGTAGTCAGTAAATGAATGGCCCACTTCATCTGATCTTAGTAATTTCAGGTAATTGCAATAATAAAAACAATTTCCAATATCAAGGTCAAGACTTACAGTACAACTACATTCTGTTAATCTCCTCTATTTGACTGGGGTTTAGAAAAAATGTCATTCCTGGACATTTTCTGTACGACAATAAAACCCTTGATAAAGTTGGGTATTCATTTGGCTGTGATAGATGTGTAGGACTCGGAGGTGCGATGGGGACGCTGAAGTATGATGGTCACGCTGAAGTGTGATGGTCTTCGCCGAAGTGCGCTGGTCTTTTCGCTGATGTGCGATGGTCTAAATGACAAGTGATTCATAGTTAAAAATCTACTATCTGTGTTGTGTTCATCAATATCTTTTATACTTTTAATGTAGATCGTTTTAAACGGTGTTTGCAAAATTTGAAATAAAAGACTATATTTCATATTTTGTATCTTATACTAAATGAGGGATCGTCCTATTCATTTTTGATGCCATCTTTGATGATTTACTTGTACTTAAAAACCAAAAAATTTGTTATAACAAACAATAATATATCGACATATGAACATGAAAAATTGAAAATATAGTTTATGTAATCCATCGCACTTCAGCGTTACCACCAATGCACTTCGGCGTAGCTATCAACAAGAAAGCGTCACAATGCCACGATCTCACTTCAGCGTCAAACCATAGCACTTCAGCGTGACCATTGCAGTTCAGAGTCCTGCAGATGTATAAATTAACAGCCACATCCTGTCAAAATGGGGACAATAAATCTGATGCCCATTGTTGGGTGTGGGCCTTCCAACAACTCTCTGAGGGAGTTCCGTAGGTAGCCAAAATTTCTGTCCTTATCAATCATACCCTCATTTCTAGGAAGCAGACGAAATTTCCCAACTTTTATCCGGGGTAACCTACCTTGCAGAACCCTCATATTGTATTTGCTGTTTGATTTATTCTCGTCCTGAATATGCATAAAATATTTGCCACTGGATGTTTATCAAGCAACAGATATGTCTTACAATAAGTGGTAGTTGCATATATTTCCATTTTATGATCTTTTGAAATAAGTCCAGATAGACGATATTGGTAGAGGCATTTTTGCTGTAGTTTCAATCTGCTGATTTTCTTGCTATCAACATTAACCTTGAACAATTTTCAATCAAAGCAAACACAGTGGGATATGTCATAAAAAGTTATTGGAGTATCTGAGTATGAAATATACACTCTAGTACTCATTGTTCTCCCTATATAGCTACTTAAGACATAAGCAATTGTTTTGGTTAACGATATTATTTATGATACTGATGTATTAAATTATATTTGTGTTGTTTCAGGTGATAGCCAGGATATTATATTGTGTAAATAGAAGTTGGTCAGGGAAAATAACAGTAACAGAACTTAGAAAAAGTAACTTTTTATCTGTAAGTTAAATCATTAGGTTCAATATAGTTTGATGGACTGATATTTGTAACCAGGGTAAAAGTATTGGGTGGGGGAGGGATGTTAGATGGGACTTTTTTAATGACTCTCCCTCTTATTTAATTTTATTAGTTAATCAACTGGTATTGATAAGGATCAAAGTCCTGAATGCCATCACCTTATTTATTGTTAAACAAATATATATGTCAGGAATCTTTTTGTTATAATACATTTCTTGCATCGAATAGGTCAGATGGCCTAACACTTTTCCAATTTAAATTCTGTGGAATAACCCCAATTGTTGCTCTAAAATGTTAGTATTAGTTTTGTGGAGACCATTGTTTTGGTTTGAGGGAATGTTAATTATTACAGACATTTCCCAAAAGAAGAAAAAAAAGAAAGAAATTGAATTGAATTGCAACATGAATGCAGGAAATTTCCTTATATGGGGAATTTATTGTATAATTTGTTTCATTCAAAGCTTTTTTCAGAATCTTGTTAATTAATGTTTTATTATAGTTATGGCAAGTGAATGAATTATATGGTTGTAATGATATCACATGGAATGGTACTTAAGGGTTATTTTGATAAATTTGCAAATCTGGTTTATTATTTAGAAAACCTAAACTAATTACTGTAAGGCTTGATACTGGCAGTTCTCATATCTTTTTATCAAAATACCATCAGAGTAAAGCTTTTTATAAAATCAATTGATAGGTGAAGGTCAGGATATTGATAAGGTCAGGTCAGGGATAAACCATGCAGGTCATATAACTTACGTTTTGGCAGATCCTGACGATAATATGTAGGAAATATCAGAAAATAGTGGAGAAGTTATAAACAGCAAAGTCAATACCAGTACTCATGTTTGAAAATATTGGCAATAGAAAGAAGAATAAATAACCTGTCGAATTAAAATGAAAATTTTATATCCAAATAGTCTTGGAACACCACATTTTTCTGAAAAAGTGGTGTAGCATAGTTTTTTTTTCCTGACTTCGCTTATAATGTTACTGAGGCCTTGAAGATTTATACAATATTTGCAACTGAAAGTGAATACACATTAGTGCACTAGATAAGAAACCAAAAACATGTTAAAAAATTTAACATTAGAATTCATGATTACCACATTTATTGAAATGCATAGGCCAGTTTATTTTAAATTTTATCAACAGATTGATAGGTATTTGTGTTGGCATCATAGTTCCATAGGTCCCAATGTTTTGATATCAAAGAAGTCATAATGTTTGACCAGAAATTCTTTTGATAAAGTCATGAAAACCACACAAATACAACCCCATAGATTGGTTATTGCATTTTCCTGAGGTAGATATTGTAAAAGATTTGCTGTCAATATCAGCTGCTCTGTATTTAACTATTTTACAACTTGATCTTTGTGCTTAATTGCCATTATGCTTCATATTGTGACTGGCAGCTTATATTTTACAATATCAGTATGTAGAATTCTCATGTTTTATATTACATGAATGTGTTGATTGATATGTAAAATTCTGATGCTTCTTTATATTACATTTATGTGTTTATTTATATTACATACATGTTGATATTTATTTTTCGGAAGTTAGCTTTATTGATCTTTATTTTACATACATGTTGATATTTATTTTTCAGAAGTTAGCTTTATTGATCTTTATATTACATACATGTTGATATTTATTTTTCAGAAGTTGGCTTTATTGATCTTTATTTTACATACATGTTGATATTTATTTTTCAGACATTAGCTTTATTAGAAGAAGAAGATGATATAAATCAAGTTATGGACTTTTTTTCTTATGAACATTTTTATGTGATATATTGTAAATTCTGGGAATTAGATAAAGATCATGATTTGTTAATTGATAAACATGATCTAGCTCGCCACAATGATCATGGTAAGTAAATAAACACATTTAAGGTTAACAAACATGGTTGACATTTTAAAACAAGTAAGAGAATTAGATAAATATAGATTCTACCACTGCATGGAGGGGGATAAGATACCTCTCCACTTGAAACAGATATTTGTTTTTAATTTAAAACATGAGGCTTGTCAAGTGTTTTAAATATTAAAATTCAACTGTCAAGAGTGGAGAAGTTTCATATTGCACGAGATTCAGTGATCAAATCTGCTTCTCTAATGATTTTTTGACGATATGTAGTCAAACTTTTATCCTTCTTTTTCAATGATCTGCAAGAAGATGTTTTCTTTCTATGTAATGTCATCAGGCATGATCTCCTTTTTGTGACATCATAAAAGCAAATCAGAGAAAAGCAAGAAAATTTGACATCAAAATTGGATTTTGAGCAATGAAGAACTGAGACGAATCGAACCCACATACATTAGTTATAAAAAAATAGAATTGATTAAGAATTGGAAAATCATAGTTTAGGTGTCAGTATCATCTCTGAAGAATCAGTAAACAGTATTAATCATTTATTATAATATATAATGGTTTACAATAACAACCATGGAAATTAAAAACAAATGTCACATTAATATTGTGCCTTATATTTGCAATGATATATGAATTGATAAATATTATTTGCCATGCTATAACAATCATAAAAAGCTAGTAAATATTATTCACTTTAAAAACAAGTTTGGTAAGTTCTATAATAGATTAGAATGTTTTCAATACTAAGTTTAAATAAAGTGATTACATAATGCATCAAATTAAACCCATGGTTACCAATCTGAGATACTTATGTAAACCTTCGCCAAGAAATATTCATACATGATTGTATTAAAAGCTCAGCCATAGTTGCATTTGTTAAAAACGTTATTGTATAATATTCTAAAATAATGAAGGAAGCTACATTCTGTAAGAATTATGTTGTGTTTTTTCAGCTGTAAATTCCAGAACAATTGAAAGAATATTTTCTGGTGCTGTGATAAAGTAAGTACAATTAGTTAATGACATACAAAAACGTAAGTAAGCGATTATGTCACAAACATTTCATTGCTCAAATAACTGTACAGATAATTACATCTGTTAACTGTTGATAGATATAAGTATAATATTTATTTCTCAAAAAACCTGTTTTGCAGCATGTTTAAACTTCTTAGATACTTTTCTTATATATTCTGGAACCTGTTTCAATTTATAACAAACATACATCTGTTTCCTTACATTTTATTTTGTATTAAGATATAATAAGATGTTGTAGGATTGATTATGAGAACCATTCATTAGAGACCAAATGACGAACAAGTAAGAAACTATAGGTCACGGTACGGCCTTCAACAAATGTCAAAACTTATACCACATAGCAAGCTATTAAAGACCCCAAAATGACAAATAGAAAGCAAGTGAAATGAGAGAACTAACGACCTGATTTAAGTACAAAACAATAAACGAAAAAACAAATATGATATACAGCAACAAAAGACAACCACTGAATTACAGGTTTATGAAAAAATTTCATATTGGTGTAACCAAAATTTGTATAAAAGATTTTTCTTATTAAGATTTTTTATTAAAATATTTGACACAGGGTCTCAAAGCCCATTTAGTGTATGTATTAATCAATAAAAATGATCAATAGATTTGAGATCCAAAGCCAAAGAGCTTCTAAAGCACTGTTTCATCTATTTGTTAAGTCATTTTCTTCCTAGTACGATAAAGGGGCCTTGGTTGCCAAGTGGTCTTAGCAGTCAAACTACTGTATCACTAGCCTGTCAACACTGAAGTTGTGGGTTCTAAACCCGCATGGGGCAGGTGCACTCGACTCCAATATTAATTGACTACGATTGTCAGTTTTTCTACCAAAGGTCGGTGGTTCTCTTCGGGCACTCTGCCTTCCTCCACAAATAAAAACCAAACGCCACGAAATAGCACAATAGTGTTGAAAGTGGCTTTAAACACCAATCAATCACACAATCCTTGTACGAGAATGGTTTAATAAAGTTATATGCCATTTAGGGAAACTAGTGTTACAGTCAAAACTGATTGTCCTTAAAAGAAGTTTAAAATCTGTTTGAGGTGAATTTTATGTTGTTTTAAATTGTCCTATGAAATTGAGAATGGAAATGGGGAATATGTCAAAGAGACAACAACCCGACCAAAGAGCAGACAACAGCTGAAGGCCACCAATGGGTCTTGAATGGAGCGAGAAAATCCTGCACCTGGAGGTGGGCCTCAGCTGGCCCCTAAATAAAATGTCCCAAGTCAGGAGCCTGTAATTCTGTGGTTGTCGTTTGTTTATGTGTTACATATTTGTTTTTCGTTCATTTTTTGTACATAAATAAGGCCGTTAGTTTTCTCGTTTGAATTGTTTTACATTGTCATTTCGGTTCCTTTTATAGCTGACTGTGCAGTATGGACTTTGATCATTGTTGAAGGCCGTACTGTGACCTATAGTTGTTAATTTCTGTGTCATTTGGTCTCTTGTGGAGAGTTGTCTCATTGGCAATCATACCACATCTTCTTTTTTATAGTTCAGTGAAAATGGATGTCATAACTCCAAAACATATAAATGAACTAAAATTAAAAAACATACAAGACTAACAAAGGCCAGAGGCTCCTGACTTGGGACAGGCGCAAAAATGCGGGGCGGGGGGGGGGGGGGGTTAAACATGTTTTGTGAGATCTCAACCTTCCCCCTATACCTCTAGCCAATGTAGAATAAACAAACACACAGCAATTCGCACAGTAAAACTTAGTTCAAAAGAAGTCTGAGTCCGATGTCAGAATAGGTAACAAAAGAAACTAAGGAAAATGACAATGATACATAAATAAACAAAGGACTACTAGCAGTTACTGATATGCTAGCTGCTCCAGACCTCATTCAAACTGATTGAAAGATTATGTCTTCATCATATGAAAATCAAGCACAATCCCTCCCGTTAGGGGTTTAGTATCATACCATTATAAAATATATGAGAAGAACATAACCTGTATCATGCCAACAACTGGTTTTAGAATAAATGTGTTTATTTCCGATGCAAAGACCCTATCAGTGAATCAATATTAGTACCAAAATATGCCATTCTTAATGACTTGACAACAGTATCGTAACTATATCCCTTCTGAATGAGTCTGTTTAAAGGTTTGGTTAGCTTTTGAGGTGAATGCCAACATTTTTGTGCTTTGTAAAGAATATTACCATAAAAGATTGGATGTTAAATACCTGAATGTATAAGATGTCTGCATGTTGATTTATATTTACGAATGATGTCCTTGTACCAATGATAAAATTTAGTAAATGTTTTGACTAGTTTGTGATATAGAAAACCCTGGTGTAATAATTTTTTAGTAATACAGAGATTTCTTTCGTTAAAATCAAATACGTTGTTACATAAACGAGCGAATCGAACAAGTTGAGATATTTTAACACCATAAGATGGTGACAAGAGAACGTCACCATCTAAAAATGGATAATTAACAATAGGAAATGAAAAATCATCCCTTTTAAAATAAATTTTGGTATTAAGCTTCCCGTTAAAGATATAGATATCAAGATCCAGGAAACGGCAGTGTTCATTGTTAGTATTAGCATTATTTAAAGTCAGTTCAGCAGAATAAATCTCTTTAGTGTGATTCTGATTAACTTGATAGTTTGATAGCTAATGAATATTCAAATCTAAAATAGTTGCAAATATCTTTCTTGTTCTTTCAGTAATGCAGCAATAATTTCTGTCCAACAGCTGTAAAAAGTCATTTTGTATTTATTATATTGTTCTTTTCAAATGTCAGTCAGGTCAAAGTCAGGTCAAACCAAAAACTTTAAAATCAGAGTTATGGAATTGTTAAAAATTTGACAAATCTGATTAAATCTTGTGATAACTTTTGTTGATGCTATACTTTTGGCAGTTGATGGACGTACTATGCGCTCACAGCACAGCTGTGTATTATTTTACTTGTTACAAAGTTCCATTTACTTCTAAACATAGATTTAATTTTCATAAATACACTTATTCACTGTTTGCAGAACTTTTAAAGTAAGAGTTGTATGTAACTTTTTTTCAGAGGTAAAAATGCATTAGAGGGGAAAATGTCATATCCACAGTTTGTTTGTTTTTTGTTATCAGAGGAAGATAAAAGAAATCCAACAAGGTAATTACATACATTTTTCAAATTGTTTGCATTAAAAAAAACTGTGTGTGATCACAATTGCAGGTTACTGATACAAGGGAGATTACTCAAAATATTTCTATTTAACTGCCAGAGAAGATTGAATGTAACATTATATATCAATTTAGACAAAGTTGGGTTTAAATATTTATTTATGCAGTAGATTCTTTTAATTGTCAATTTCAAATTTATTTTTCATTTATAAGTAAAAAAAGTAAGACTTGAATAATTTATTTCTCAAGAAACAAGGTCCAATGTTTTGCACATTTATCATAGTTCAAACACAATATTCCTTTCCAAACTGTTTGAAATTGTTTACTATATAAATAGTCTGTCAGCTGCCATTTGCAATTATACTAAGCCTTCATGGAAGGCTGATAGGAGAACCGACTATGACTGTAATCTGTATTCAAACTATAATTACTACAGATGCATGCAGGGCTCAGCTGACAGAATAATAATGAGGTCAAAAGTGAAAAATAACCATTCACATAAGCAAAGTGGTAAAGACCAAGTATGTAGCTCTGGAAGCCAACACACGCTTCTTTTTCAAGTCTCCCTGTCACTTACAAAAAGAAAAGTCATTCTCCCTATGATTCTATAGTAGTGTGAGCCCTGACTTCATTACTTTTTATGCAATTTTTGGAATTTTTTATTTAATATATATACAGCGATTTAAAAGTCAATGATAATAACCATGTTGACCTTGCTGTAAGGTTTAAACTATGAAGACATTTCAGAAGACTATCTACCAACTGAGAAGATGAAGAACTACAATAAAAGTGTTGTTCCTTTGGTATTTTGGTATTACGTTACTGTAGTTCATGTTTCTTGTACATTTAGTTCATATTCTTTCTTTTCTATTCATTTATATTGACTTGTACGAAAGCAAAAGTTTAACTAAAACATAAAAAAGGGAGATATGCCCATCAAAGTGTGATACAAAACCAGTCATTGAGGTATAAACCAGATCTCCTAATATTCACAATTAATTTTTGTCCATAAGTGAAAATCAAGTAACAGATAAAAAGATTGCCAACGATGCTAGCTTGCTGATGATATATTACATTTCGCTTATTACCATATTACTAACTAAAATGAAAACCAAAAACTTAATACTTTACTAAAGTATAAACTTCAATGAAAATAAGTAATGTCCAGTATTGCATATTTATTCTAAAGTAGTTCTAAGACAGTGACTTATATCATTTATTTTCAGTGTTGAATATTGGTTTAGAGTCATGGACCTTGATGGGGACGGTGTGATATCAATGTATGAAATGGAATATTTTTATGAAGAACAAATGCAAAAAATGGAAGCTTTAGGAATAGAAAAGTTACCTTTTGAAGATTGTTTATGCCAGGTAGGTTTTAAATGCATGCCAAATTTTTTAAATGTATATTCTTAGGAATTGCAATATTCTCATACATAAAATGATTGCATAAAAATATGAAAAACATTTGTTATATATTTCCAGAATGATAACTGAAAAAAAAAAAAAATTTATGTGTATAATAATCTTTTTCCACTGGTATCTGCTAAAAGAATGAAAATGGTACTCTTGTTAAACTCTATTACCGTTAAAAGGCTTGTATAGTCCGCGGTTTTATTCTCCAAAATTGACCATGACAGCAGGGGTGCGGACTATAAAGTATAATAAGCAAGAAATAAGAGAAAAAATTTCAATTCGCGATGTGGTTTGTTTACGTTCCGCCATGTTTGTTATTGACATTGTAGAGGGCGCTCTTATCATTTTTCAAACCAACAATTTTACTCAATCCATATTAAGTTATTTTTATTCAATATCAAATTAATACTGATAAATTTAAAGATTAAATGCTTCATTACAAAATTCTCGTTTCTTTTCAATGCATTGCTAAATATAAACTGGTATCTGCTTGAATGAAATCGTACAAAAAAAGTAAAAAAAGACATCGGTAAACCAGCTTATGATGTGTAAACTACAAAACGTAATCGGTTATTATTCGTTCCGTTTTGGTGTTTCCTATTGACAAATATGTTTTGTATTAGCTTAAGACCCTTCAAACATTAATGGGATAGATATATTAAACACTGTTTTACATAAGGAGGGAACTGTTTTACTTTCAAAGTCGTATTATAGGCATATCTATTATGTATGGATTTCGACTCACTGGGTTTTTCATCTTTTACACGTGCTTTTCAAACTTCCGGTTTAAACATACACAAGTTTCTAAATTGTTTTTTGTGTGATTTAGACTTATTTTAACCAGCGTGAAGTGTTTTAGAACCATTTACAGGCAGTTTCAGCTTCTGTTTGGTGATGGAAAATATGTTTTTCCATGAAAATACCGCAAACGACCACACACGATTTAAAATTACCGGAGTTTCATTAGACCTTTTCTAACAGTTACAAAAAGTTTTTTTACCTTAAATCTCGTGGGGAGAAGGGGGTGCGGACTATGTACCAGTGCAAACTATACAAGCCCGATTACGTTATAATAAAAATGTTTCAAAAAATAAAAAAAAAAATACTTGAGACACAATTTAGCAAACAATGTGGCATTAGTATTAAAAATTGATGAATCTACAGTCAGTAAGGTTGTTACAACAGGATAGCCAATAAGTGTGAAGACATCATCCTAAGATAAATAGAAGTGCATAAACTTCCTTGAATTAGAGTGAAATTGACAAGCTACATACCATGCAGTTCTCGCCTTGCCTCCAAGGAAAGCACCAATTGGCAAGAGTGTACTTGCAGTTTTATAATTGAAATGGCATTTTTATAATTGAAATGTATGTTTTACTTAGTACAATATTCATCTTGTTTCAATTTTGTAGCAAAAAACTGTTCCATTGATTTTTTACTTAACATAATATTGTTAAGTCACCAATTTATGCCAGAATTCATGCATGATAATATATTTTAAAAAGTATTGTTTTTGTTCATTTCAGATGTTAGATTTAGTAAGACCTAAGGATCAAGAAAGAATAACTTTAGCTGATCTCAAAAATTGTAAAATGACTCATATTTTTTTTGACACGTTCATCAACCTTGATAAATTCCTTGATCATGAGCAGAGAGATCCATTTTCTAATATGAGGGTAGGTACAATTATCAATTCAACATGGGTTTATATCAGGAGTGGTTTATACTTAAATATAGAAACAATACAAATAATCAGAATTTTTATAGAGGATGTGGTATGATTGCTGATGAGACTACTCTCAACCAAACACCAAATGACGTAAAAGAACATCTATAGGTTACTGTAGGGCCTTCAACAATGAGCAAAACCCATACTGCATAGCCAGCTATAAAAGGCCCCAGAAATGACAAATGTTAAACATTAAAACTAGAAAACTAACGACCTGATTTTTGTACAAAACAATAAGTGAAAAACAAATATTTGTTGTTTTTACTCAGAATCTGAACTAAATATAAGGATAAATAGATTGATATGATTGTCCATGAGCCATCTTTTCTACAAATAACTTAAAAAGAGATGATGTATTGTTAATAATGTGAATAAAACCATCATTGTGTGCATGTTCTTTTTTCAAGCATCATTGAGGTTAAGCTGTCATTTCATGGTATAAATGCTATTTTTATTATATTGAAACTTTCAGATGTGTAATTAAATTTCACGGCTGTGCACATTTGCACACTTGTTCTTGTGTAAACAACATGGTTTATCAACTTTTGCCCCAAAACCTTTTCAACATTCAGTACAAATTAGGTATGTAAATTTCAATGATTAATATTTTGTTACTTAACATGCATAGTCTGATGAGTGATTTGTGTAAAAAAATATTGTAATCAGCCTTTTTTTCAGTGAGTATAGTTAACGAATCTCAAAATCTTTCTTTTGACAGGATGTTGACTCTGATATACCAGAGCCAAGTGACTGGGAGAGGTATGCTGCAGAAGAATATGAGCTTCTAGTTGCTGAAGAAGGGGCAAATGACCAAGAGGAAGTGTAAGTTTGCCTTATGTTGTCATTATAGAAAGTGTTAATGGCTGACATTTTTATGCTTAGTTTGTGCCATTGCAGTAACATTTCATTTTGACAATAGAAGCATCTGGTTTGGAGGTTTTGAAATAAAAACAATTAATTTTTATAAATCAGTAAAAGGAAAGCAAAAATATAGAACTGTACAAATTAGTCTACACTTAATAATTCATTTAAGATGTTGCTTTTCAGAAATGTTGACTGATATTAAAATCTACACAATATGGTATATTTGTAAGAAAAATTTCTTGTAACCATTGTAATTGCAAAGCTTGAATTTCATTAAGTTAACTGCTTGGAGATCAGCATGGATATTAAAGATGGGTTTTGGTCATTTATATTATGCATGTATTAAAGAGAAATGTTTTTTCTTTTTATTATTAAAGCTATCATAATTCGCTATCCACATTGCAATATATGCTTTATTTTTCTAATGTTAGTGAATAAAACTCAAATCTGTAGTTATATATTTCTCTGAATAGGGACCTTTTTAAAGGATAAAACATTGGTTTTAAAATTCCTAGGCTAATAAAACTGGTTCAATTTGCCGTAGTTTATTTATGAATACTTCGAAATGATATCAAGTAAAATGTCTGCTTACTAATAATAACTGGATCCTAATACTAGGTGCTGTAAACATCGTATAAAAATTTTAATCTGCAAAGCTTCAAATATAAGACTTTCATCGCCATTCTTATAATTTTCCCCTAGAAGATGTTTCATTTTGCCTTTTTGGAGATTTGAAATCCTTTAGACTTTATAAGTACATTAAACTTTTAGGCATAAGCATTGTTAAAAGAGCGCCTTTTAAAAAACATTTTTCTCCTAATTTTGTTTGCATTTAAATTGGTTTGACAAATGTTGATAGCCGCACTTTGATTGAAATTGTCTAGTGTAATTTACTCGACCATCTTATCCAGTGGGAACATTGCATTCATCATTTTCCATTAAATCATTAAGAAACAAATTCTACCACCATATCCTACTGACTCGATTATTATCAACTTTGATAGTGGAATTAAAAAATTTTAAATGATTAGTAAATCTCTCATTTTAAAGTTTGAAAATATTAATTTTTAGAGTGGAAAATTAGGGTTATTGATGGGATGGTGTGGTAGAATCTATAGAAATTCAAACAGACCTTTATTACAACACTTATAAATTCAAACAGATCTTTATTACAACACTTATAAATTCAAACAGACCTTTATTACAACACTTACATTGGAGAATTTTTTTGCAGAATATCAGCTTGTTAAATCCAACAACAAAACAGCTTTTTTATTTTCATAATACAACATAATGACATTTTTTTTTGGGGGGGGGGGGGGGGGGGATTTTTATGTGTGATATTTAAACATTTTTCATTCCTAAAACAGTGAAAAATCAGTTCTATCATCATGGGAAACAACCGAGTTAAAGGACACAACAGATACTAGGTATATTATGTTTGGCACATCCTATTCAGTATTCAATGAGGTTACCTTGTGTATTATTTATCCCCATGTCTCGTCATTAATCTCTCATTGTATATAATTACTAAACCTCAAAAGATAATATTCCTGTAAAAATTCTCTCATGTTATAACAGTCAATTTTGTCTGAACCTCAAAAGATAATATTCCTGTAAAAATTCCCTCATGTTATAACATTCAATTTTGTCTGAATTAATCCCATTATCTCTATTCACTTTAAGGAACATAATTTTTTTGTCTTATTTGTCCATTAAAAACCCTTTAGTACACTCTATTCACTTTAAGGAACATAATTTTTTTGTTTTATTTGTCCATTAAAAACCCTTTAGTACAAGTATTTTTTAAGAATGTTCCTTAAATTTCATAAATAGAAAGCCAACAATGCAAAGTTTTACTGGTCATGGGAAGGTCAAATTACTGTATCTATTTAGATAAAGCTAAAATTGGATTGTGTTTTGTATGAAATTATGTTTTGGCTTATAGGAAAAAAATTACTTTCACAATTTCTTAACTTTTGAACAGTTCTACCGTGAATACAATAGAGACAATTGATAAATGTCAGTTAAACAGCAATACAAAAACAATCACAATTTTTCAGATAGAATACAGCATATCTATCATTTACTTTTTTGGAGTCATTATATGAATTAATGGAATGATTATTTTCATAATTCATGTCTTTTCTTCTATAGATTGGTCATTTTGTTAGATAATTTTAGGAAGAAAGGATGATGATAAATTGGTTCTTGGTTTGTTTAAGTTTATTGACTGTCATTCCTATTCATTTAACATTATCTATAAATAGTTACCTCAGCCAAAAGTTCTCCCAATATAAAAAAGTTTGAACAGAGTCAAAAAGTTATCTGAAATGATCTAGTAGAACATTTCACTCCACGGTTACTTCCACATTTTACATTAAGGTTATCAGGGATGATTTTTTTGTGCCAAAAAATTTAACCATATTTTAGATTTTATAATGTCCTAACTGTTATATGGTACATTATTATGTATGTAAATTGAAGTTTTCTTCAATTAAAGTTTTTCATTTTATTCATTTTAATTTTAGTTATTGAGTTAATCATTATGATTTTAGTTATTGAGTTAATCATTATGATTTTTGAGATTGTGCTTATCATATGTTATATGTTTTCATTTAGATTTTTTAAGAGAATGAACTGATATTTATGAAATGATCACATTTATTCTGTTTATAATAAGGTCATTGTGTTTTTGTTTGACACTACTAACATATGTATTCACCTGTCACATTTGTAGCCTGATAAGTGACCACTTTTCCCCACCCACATTTACATGGGGGTAGTACAAGAGGTAGGTGAAGATGTATTGTTGCACGTACAGTGACAGAGTATGAAATCAGCACATTAAAAACAATTGAAAGAAATTTCTCCATGCAAACATTGTTTTCTTGCAACTTCTCAATTCTGTTTAGCTTATATTATTAGCTAAGTAAAGAAATATTTTGTCTGACCATTAAAAAAACAAATAGCCCAGAAGAAACTTGGTATTTGTAGGTTTCTAAAATTTGTCGACTTTTCCAAATTTTTTCTGTGAGACAGTTAAAAACAAAATTTGTTTGATTGCCTATTTGTGAACCAAATATGGGGGTAATTGTCTTTGAAATAATATGATTGCCTTCAAGAATTGTGTCTGATGGCCATCCTGTCCAAGCAATATAGCTATGTGTAATTGATACTTAAATACAAATCTACAAAGAATTTTTTTCAAATCTTGATAGAAATTTTGTATTGGGGTTATGTTAGTTTTGGCAGACTGTTGCTTGTTGACTTTCAATCAATAACCCGGTCTAACATTCCATATGGCCACCACTACAAATTATCATTTTTGTCGAGCCTGCGACTTTTGTCGCAGAAAGCTCGACATAGGGATAGTGATCCGGCGGCGTAAGCTAACTTCTTAAAAGCTTTATATTTTAGAAGGTGGAAGATCTGGATGCTTCATACTTTGTATATGGATGCCTCATGTTACGAAGTTTCCGTCAGCCACATGTCCAATGTCCTTGACCTCATTTTCATGGTTCAGTGACTACTTGAAAAAAAAGTTAAGATTTTTTGTAATGTTAAATTCTCTCTTATTATAAGTAATAGGATAACTATATTTGATATGTGCGTACCTTGCAAGGTCCTCATGCCCGTCAGACAGTTTTCACTTGACCTTGACCTCATTTCATGGATCAGTGAACAAGGTTAAGTTTTGGTGGTCAAGTCCATATCTCAGATACTATAAGCAATAGGTCTAGTATATTCGGTGTATGGAAGGACTGTAAGGTGTACATGTCCAACTGGCAGGTGTCATCTGACCTTGACCTCATTTTCATGATTCAGTGGTTATAGTTAAGTTTTTGTGTTTTGGTCTGTTTTTCTTATACTGTATGCAATATGTCTACTATATTTGGTGTATGGAATGATTGTAAGGTGTACATGTCTAGCTGGCAGGTGTCATCTAACCTTGACCTCATTTTCATGGTTCAGTGGTCAAAGTTCAGTTTTTGAGTTTTGGTCTTTTTTTCTAATACTATATGCAATAATTCAACTATATTTGGTGTATGGAAATATTTTATGATCTATATGTCAGTCACGCAGGTTTTATTTGACCTTGACCTCATTTTTAAGGTTCATTGCTCAGTGTTAAGTTTTTGTGTTTTGGTCTGTTTTTCTTAAACTATAAGCAATAGGTCAACTATATTTGTAATATGGAAGAATTGTTAGCTGTACATGCCTGCCTAGCATGGTTCATCTGACCTTGACCTCATTTTCATGGTTCATTGGTCAATGTTTAGTTTACTTGGTTAATGTTAAGTTTATGTGACAGTTGAAATAAAGCTTTATATTTAGGACTTTCAACATAATATCAATGATTAGTAAAGAAGGCAAGACATTTCAGCGTGTGCACTCTTGTTACATCTTATGATCAGTAAAGAACACAATTGAACTAACTTACATCATTGCTATAATTAGATTTAAGGTAATACTTAAATTTTGATCAATTTCATGATTCATGTTGGCCAACCATCATTGCAAACATAATTTTCAGGAAAAAATATCTTCAAAATACTGCTTCAATACTGACATGACTTTTTTATGGTAATATTACAGGGCTGGTTGATATGAAACTTATTTGACCACTACTGCAGAATATAGCTTTTCCTTTGGACCTCATAGAATAGTCCACAGAATTTCTTCTGTGATAAAAATAAGCCAGTTTAAATAAATTTGGACTGAATCATCCTAAGGATGTCTGTTTCTAAGAGTCTTTAAGTAATATGATCTACATAGATTCGAACAGAATTTATCTAATTTAAAAACGGGGAAAACAGGTTTTGTAATAAAAAATAACCTGATAACAGCAAAAAAAAAATAAACTTAAAAGTGGAGAAAAGATTTATTAGTTTGTTTCTCACATTAAAAAAATCTAAGTAATAAATATTGCATGAAAATATGAAAAAGTGGTAAAAAATACGAAATCTGCCTAGTATAATGAGAAAGTTTTAAATCTTGTACTATAATTTTAACTCACAATTTAGAGTAAAAAAGAGAGTTTATATGTGCATTGATAAATGATATCCCACTGAAGTTAATATATAACCAGTGTTTCATACTCTGTTTACTGTTAGATCCATATGTGTGTTGTAACTGTTTATTGTATTCTTCTCGTTCTATATTTATGAAAGCATCTTGTTTCATTGTTTATTTATTTTCATTATGTTTCTTTTCATTCAGTGAACTTTTGAGGTATGAATGTAGAGCTTTCTTTAGATGATGACAGATTATATTAACCCTCGTTTCTCTGATCTCTACTCCACTCTATATTAATATATATTGTATCTACGCCTTCTAATTGACCATATCAGAGCCAGTTGCATTATGGATAAATCACATTGAAGTTAGGCTGTTATATAGGACTTAAAAAACACAACATTGAATATTTAGAGGAGAAAAAAAAAAAAATTCCTCATTTATCATTTTAAGGTACAATTTCATCAAAAAAAATCCAAATCTGTTCTGAAATAAGTAAACAAGTGTTTACTTCAAATAACCTGGCTATGGGAAATTTTTTATCCACCGACTTTTTTTTATTATCATCTCACAAAAACTTTACTCCCACCTCACCATCACCTCCATTCCATACACTCCTGTGGTTTTTTTTTTAGAGGGATTGGTGTTTTTAATCAGTTCAATATGCTAAATGTTTTGTAGAATATTATTTTTTGTCTCTCATCTCTTTCCTCTTGGCCAAAGTGGTGTCTCTACAATTAGACAGATTATTATTTTTATTTTTCCCTTGGCACCTTCTCCCGTTGTGGATTGATAACTTTTAATCTCACCTGGACATAAGACCACATGAGCTATTGCCATCATTTGCTGTCCATCTTAGTCATTGTCATCAAGGTCATAAACTTTTTCAAAGATCTTCTCATCTGAAACTGTTGAACCAATGTCAACCAAATTTGAGGTGAATAATCCTTAGGGTATCCAGTATAAAGTATGTGGGTTTTTCCCAGTCAGTCAACAAACATGGCTGCCATTGCTAAAAATAGAACTTAGGGGTAAAATGCATTAATTGTCTGATATCTTTAAAATCGTAATGGATAGAGAAAATTTGACAGGAATGAAAATGCTCAGAATGTCAAGATCTACTTTTTTTTTGTATTTTCACCAAAATCATTAAGGAGTAATTGTCCTTAAATGATGATTTATTTTGCTAATTTTCATGTTTTTTGCTATCACCAATATCTCAAAAACAATATTATGAATAGGTAAAAACTTAATATAAACGAAACTTAAACCTGTATGGACTCCACTGAAGCAAAAGTGTGCTCTCCTCTATAAATCAGGCTATTCATGATAAATCTTACCAGTGTTACAATAGCAAATATGATCAGCAATACAAGATCTACAAAAATGTCTAGATGGCTGAAACCATTGGATGATTCTGTAAGGAGTAACTTCCATTTATTGACGGTTTTTGACTAATTTTAGTGTTTTTACTGATTATGTCCAAAACGATAATAGAACTGTAGAAACTGTAAACAGCAAAAATTACTAGAAACAATTGGTGGTAGCCTTAAAAGACAATTTTTTAATAATTTTTGTGTCCATCGTATACTTTTCAAATCTGCACCAATTTTAACAAAACTTGAGGCGAATGATTTTTATACGCCCGTTTACGGGACGTATTATGGTATACCGTTGTACGTCCGTCTGTCCGTCCGTCCGTCGTCAACATGTCGGACATTAACTCAAAAACGCTTTAACCGATTTGCTTAAAACTTTGGTGAATTGTTTATATCTATTGACGTGAGCTCCCTTTCGTTTTTTATAAATTTTAGATTTTATGTTTCCGAGTTATGGGGTTTTATTCATTAAAAAAAGGGGGATTTTCCAGTTTTGGACAATAACTCAAGAATGCTTGCACCAACTTGCAAGAAATTTTGGTTAATTGTTTATATCTATTGACATGAGCTCCCTTTGGATTTTTATAAATTTTAGATTTTACGTTTCCGAGTTATGGGGTTTTATTCATAAAAAAAGGGGGATTTTCCAGTTTTCGGACAATAACTCAAAAATGCTTTCAGCAGTTCTCATGAAACTTTGATGAATTGTTATTATCTATCGATGTAAGCTCCCTTTAGAATTTTATAAATTTTAGATTTTACATTTCTGAATTATGGGTTTTATTCATTAAAAAAGGGGGGATTTTCCAGTTTTCAGACAAAAACTCAAAATGCTTTCAGCAATTCGTATGAAACTTTGGTAAACTGTTTATATCTATTGATGTAAGCTCCCTTTAGAATTTTATAAATTTTATTTGTTTATAGTCTGACAACAGATTTACTAAGTATTGCACAGTGTATTGCACAACAGCAAGAAATCTTTAATTGAATATAAATTCAATTCATATAACCAACTTCAAGTTCTTTGACTACATTTATTCAGGAACCTATAATAGATGTATGTCAAATATATAATTACAATCCAAATTCAGACCTGTATCAAGCTTGAATATTGTGTCCATTTTTGCCCCAACTGTTCAGGGTTAGACCTCTGCGGGCGTATCCAGCTGCGCTCAGCGAAGCAGTTTATTAGGGTATCTAGTATAAATATGAAAGGTGAGCAACACAAGCTCTTGGGAGCATCTTGTTATTAATTTAATTCTATTGTAACTTCTATTTTAAGGAAGTAGGGGAGATTACGTTCCAATAATAGATGGTGTTTTTTTTTTTACAAAATCTACAAAAATAAAATAAAATTTGTTCTAGATTTGCTCTCTGTTTTTTATGTTTCCTTGAGGACACTCAGATTTGATTAATCACTTGGTCCAAGATAGTATATTAAAAATGACACAAGATCCTTCAGCTGGTTACAGATAGATCATGTTAATCTGTTTGGCCTCTTCATATATATTCTTCTTTATTACCTGTACATTCCTTAAATTAATATGTAATTGGTTTATATGCTAGAAAATATAAAGACATCTCAATGCATGCACTGCTGTAAAACAATTCTTGAGCACTTCTCTATACTCTATAAAATTATGATTATTGTAATTTTGATTCAGCTCATGATATTTTGATTTATATACCCCTACTCCTAAATATGTTGTTTCAATAATCATTATTGAATCTTCTAATAATTGATTGTCTGAGCCTTTAATATGAATTTCCAATTAAGGGAAATAGTTTTGATGCTGATAGCAATTATGCAATATAATCGTTTATGTGGAAAAGGTTAAAAAAAAAAAAAAATGAAAATGCATTCGAAACTGAAGGAAACAAAATCACAAAAATAAAAAAAACAGCAATAGGAGGTTGTTATAGCAGATATGTTTTAAACCCTGTCTTATTAACATGCATTTATTTACTTGATTTATCAAGTTGATATTTTTATTCTGAATAAAGTGTGAAACTCGAATGGCTCGTAAAATTCAGTAATTGTTAATGATATTAGTATTCAGGAGAATTTTGTCAGTAGCCATTTTTTCTTTTCTTTTTACAGACATTATGAAGATGACTTCGAACCAGACGAAGATGAGATAGTTAATGAAGAGAACAAATCTTCAGCTGTTACCGAGAGGGTATCCCAGAATTCCAGAGCACTCTCCCAAGAAGATGATATCTATGACTTCAGCACTGACAGTTTAGGATACTAAAATGAGTGAAACTGAGAAGCACGAACAAGAACAGTTCTGGATAATGATTGTATTGTTGTCCTGTAACATCATTGATAAATATTGTAATCGATGACTTCACAAGTTTAAATTACTTGTATGGTAGAGAGAAATGATGATAATTAAAATCTTTATGCAAAGTATTTAATTTTGAGTCATAGTCTGTTTTTAATATGTATTTCATAAGATTTTTACTTGTTTCTCACTCAAATATTATGTTTTGTGGAGCTTTTACATAAACATTTTTATTAAATATCCTTGAAAAAAAATCATATGGTACTAGCCACATTTTTTGAGTTTCATAAAAGCTATTTTCACCAAATTTTATTTTCATTTCAAATTTTTGAAAATTAATACTATGAAAACACTTATAAGTGTCTAAAGGTTATCTTTAAATACACAATATTAGATAATGAATACATTTGTTTGGTCAGTGATCGAGGATATATGAAAGACCCAGTATACATATTCAATATACATAGAAGTGATAATGTTCTAACTAGTAACATAAACTTACCTACAGATGTAAAAAAAGGTTCAATAAGGATGCTCTGGTAGGATTACTGTAGTGATTACCCTAAATAATTTAAGCTGTTTATGTTGGAATCTCTGATCTACAAAATTCTCTGATCATAACTCATTTTAGGTTTCCTAAATTCTGATTTACACTTTGCTGATGTAACTATTTTGAAAATGTAATATTTTAAACAACATTTGATAATGCACTTTTCTGCCAAATTGAAGTGTAATTTATGTACATGGATGAGAGTCATTATAATATTGGTCCCCTAGGTCACACCCACTAATTTGAATATTTGAGGGAGTGTTGTGCAGTACACATTGCCAGATGAATTATACATTTTATATATTTCAGTGTTAGTATTTTAAGACTATGCAAGTAAAGTTTTGAATCAGCTCATTCCATGAAGAGAGTGTATATTATTATTTATTAACCTTTCACTGCCAGGATATTGTTGTATTGTTTGTTTTTGTTTGTGTGAACTTTTAATTATGCTGTTTTCAGTTTTATAAAATTCAGCAAAATATATTCATTAAGTGAATATTTTTTGGGGAAAGTTTGTAGCTTTCAACCATTTTATACTACCTTATATCTTGAAACAAAAACAAACCATAATCTGTTAAATTTTCTTTAGGAATTGTTTTTTAAGCTTTAGATAAAAGATACTGAATTTATAAAATTGTATTATTAAAAATTTGGTTATAGATTTGTTCGTTATAAAATTTAGAAACAGCATCAGTTCAGGTCTAAAGACAAACAATTTTATTAATGAAATTGACCTTATATAAATACAGATATGACTGAAATAGCCTAGAAATTATACATTATTAGTGCTTTTATTTCAAATTCATTTATTGTGTGTTAAGAGGCGATAATAATATATATATGCATGTATATTTACTTTTGCATATGAGGAGAGAGAAAAAAGAATTTCATTAATATTGTTTTTACATTTATACAAAATCAAAGTGAAAAACTTAAAAAAAACACAATAAATAATCAATTATAATATTTTAGGGAATGTTGTGCAGTACACATTTGAATATTGAAAAAAAAAGCAACAAATAATCAACTTAAAATACATGTGGATATGCTTTGAATATGCTTGCATCTATTTTTTCTGCAGCTTTGTCCTTAGTTTACTTTTCAGTCATAATTCATATAAACACCTCAGCATTCTACAATCATAGATCAGTAAACCATGTAGTCAAACTTGTTATGCACTTTTCATTGGTTATACTATGACTTTTGTGGTTTAGACAAATTCTGCATACAAACCATACTACCATAGGACAATTTTGTTGTGTTGAACTCTTGTAAATCATGGTTAACTGTGACCACAAAATCCATAAAAATTAGTTCTCCGAGAATAATAACTAATACACAGTAGTTCTGCTTGTTTTTGTTCCATTAAAAAATGGAATTTTTTCCCCATTTAACTTTGGAGATAAAATATTTGATTAGAATCTCAGTTTGCCATTTTCATACTGTATTCTGAGCATGATTCACAGAGAGTTTTTGTTCAATACTAAGAAAACCAAAGATTTATTTAATTCAGATTTCTAAAACAAGTTTGCCTTGATTTAGAGTAATTGAGTAAATGTAGATTAAAATCATTAAGTAATTGTTGATATCAATATGAAAAATGATTGAAACTTTTTATTTAAAGTGATTTTGCTTTAAAAGGAAGAATCCACTTCACTGCAAGATTGTACTTGGATTTGAATGATATCTTAACAAAAATTATACATTAGTTATTGTTTCAAATGACATTTATTTATGATTTATTTATAATCTTATAATGTACCATATATGTTATTTAATGAAAAAAGATAATATCAAATCATCATGAATTAGAAAGGTATGCTGTTTAGGAAAATATACAGTCAATTTTAAATTACATTTTTGTTTGTCATTTGAATACATGATTTACTATAAACTATCATGATTTGTTATATTTATTTATTGACCGTATCAATACATTTATAAGTTATTTATAATACATTCACATTTTGTGTTGTGACATCTTATCATATTGCTATTGTTCTTTGATGTCAATTTTACTGCAGTATTTATTATGATGAAATTAAATTTAAATATTATAACATAATGTTCTGTCTTTGGATACTATCTGCCTAGTTGCTGTCTCTTGTACTGGCATGAAATTCTGTAAGGTTTTTGCCATAAGTACAGTATAAAACATAAAAAGTTGTATTCAGTTAGTTCATAAATAGCGATGATTTTTTAAACTGTTCATATAATGGTTATCTCATGGAGTATTATATTGACAGGAACTCCAACAAATCGACTTCAAACGTTTATAGTGCGATGCCCCAAATTCGTTAAGTATCTGTTAATTAACTCGACATGTCATATTGATGCATGGGTTCAATCAAATTTTTGGAACCTTGTCATTGATCGTAATTACAGAATATACTGAAATAACCGGATATGTAATTAATTGTCAAGAAATGACATAATGAAAAGTGATTTTAAAAGGGTTTGATCGGAAAAAATATCATACTTTGGCATAATGAAATAGCGCATGGGCAATCATACCATATCTCCTTATTTTAATATTGGCTTGAATAACAATAAATTCCTAGTGTAAGGTGAAAAAAAGTTGTATTCTGCATCTATAATTGAGGTTTGCTAACTTTGAGAAATATTTTGATTAATTCTTTACTGAAAGTCCAATAGCTAATATTTTATGCAAATCGACAAGAAACAAACCATAAATTGCTTAACAAACGTTGTACGATGTTTCAGAACTGTTAATCATTAACACACTAAAATAAATTCAAATTTGGTTCCCATGATAAAATCTAAAGAATAAAAAAATATTATACTGCTTAGGGACCATCATGATGATCGATCTTTAAATGCATCCAGAATTATTTAAAGTTGAGCCATTCATAAAAAAAATTCTTCACACGTCGGAGCAATCTCGTACTAGGTTGAGGGTCTTTTTTAACTTTTGAATTATTACAAAAGGTGTAACATGTTATCTGTCTCGTAACCTGATACATGCTATGTAGAGGTCATCACATGCGTGTAATTATTATCGTCTTTAAGTTTTTAAAACATATTCAATAAATACGTTTAATTACATTTCTCTACCTTGAGATGATAGAGAAAACCATAAATATTCTTGTAACACTCGATAAAAATTTACAACCTTTAACTTAAAATTTGAGTTATCCTTTGCCATTATATACACTTCACATGCATCACATTATTTTCTGCAAACACCCTACTTCAGGTACATGTAATTAAATATTATGAGACGTTTTCGGTATGGATCAAATACTTCAAATGAGGACACACTAATGTTGTAAAGCGGGATATGTGTCTCATCGACACTTCCAAATGAGGACACACTAATGTTGTATAGCGTGATATGTGTCTAATTGACACTTCCAAATGTTGCACCTTCTGAATATAAGTACTCGAAGGATTTGGTGATTTTTTTATGTATGTTTCAAATCAAAGTTTTCTGATTGTTCAACTCCCAGGTAAGGTTTCTGGTCAACTGTAACTAGTTGCTGACCCATCGTTTCATGTCAATCTGGTTTTTTTCCCTCTTAACTTTAATTATGTAACATTTGGTTGGGTGAAATGGCATTGCTATTTTTACCTATTTATTCAACTCAGTCAGGTATTGTTATAAACGTTATTTTCACGGATCTTGATTGGTATGTCAAGTAGAGATTCATCATATAATTATCTTTTCGAAATTTTGCTTCCCAAATTGTTGATACAAATGACGCAACACAGTGGTCCTAGTAACGGGTACCTTGTGAAAACTCCTGATTTCACTGGTTTGTTCTAAATGTCTTCTCCAACTTCACATACTCAGTAGTCATGCCGACATATATTGCAGAAGGTTATGATTTATCTCGGAAGTGATTTTATCTGGATAGAATTTCGTGAGTGACAGTATCGAAAGCTTTTGAGAAGCCTTAGCTGAGAATATTTATTTTCCCCCAGATAACCAAGTTCTCTTGAACTACACCTATCAATTTTATTGGTAAGTTGCATTTCACGAGATCTGTTGCGTCTGAAAAAATATATGAAATCTGATAGCACTTGATGTTCTTCCAGATGTTTCATTATGTTTTTGTAGACTATGTGTTCTATGAGAAGTTTATGATATTAAATGGAACGCCTACTTTAAACTTTAAATAAAAAGTTTGATTTGAATACGTTAGTATGTGAGACAGTTTTAGATATATAGATTTAGACTCTAATGCCATTAAATGGAGTGTTGTTATGTTTTGCTATTATATGTCTCTGACTCCCTTGAGAATTTTTAATTCATATTAAAGAATTATCGAAACATTTTGTATAGATTGGCATTTTTTTTTATCTTTCTGTCCATCAAATAATATCCGTGTCATAAATGTCATTTAATATATTTTATATAGTTTTACAATACAAACGCAATACACGTACCAACAATAATATGGTTCTGCTTTCATATAGCGGTCTTCTTTGTATATGCGTTATTTTGATGGCGGAAACGGTCGCATGGTATCCAAATATGGTAAGTCATGCACTATAAGTTTTTTTACTATTATTTTGACGGGTAGATTAAAACTAAAAAAAAAAGGTTTATAATCAAGTACGCCAGAAGTGAGGTTAGTCACATAAGACTTATCAGTGGCGCGCGAATTAAAGACAGTTGGAGGGTCTTTGCTTCCATTCTGTTTTTCTAATATAACTTACCTTTTTTTCTTTATTACCTTTTAGAGACGGTTTAGTGTAAATCCATCGGCAATGTCAGTTGAATTAAAGACTGAACCATCTAACTCTGTAAGTACATTCAATGTCTTTTAAATTACAAAATCACACATGACATACTCGTTTTAGTTAGAGTTTTTCCTTTTGGAACAACTATGCGACAGTTGTATTCGAATATATGACTTATTTCGCCGGCGATACTTTTAAGTAGAGGTAAGTTAATGCAACAGAAGATCAGAAGACAAATCAATGTAACAAACAAAAAACTGAGGGAACTCCAAAAGGAGCGAGACCGGGTGCGTAAACAGATAAGCGTCTACTGATATGCATGCATCGCCAGCCATGCTAATCAACAGTCAGCCAAAAATATTATCAAATCAAATCAAACTTTTATTGCCATATAAACCAACTTATACGATTTGTGACAAAAACAACATTAACATAATGACAAGAAAAAAGCATGTATAATCATATTAAACAAACTAATAAAAATAGTTCAAAATTTAATTATGAGTCCCCTATCCTTAGTGCCAATGACTTTTTTATAAAGGAATCTATGCTTTCTACCTGTTTTTGTGTTGATGGACAAAGAATATTTATCTTTTTTTCATTTTCATTGAGGCTATTAAAATTTTCTATACTTTTAGCCTTTGTTAATTTTTCAATAAAAACTGGTCTAAGTAGAATGATTTTGATCCGTAAACATGTGACATCAACTTAGAAATATATTAACTATGTTTAGGAATGAAATAATGAAAGAAATTGTAAAATTAACATTTATATTTATTTGCTGAACTTTTATTCCCTGGAAGTTCAGTAACTAATCACAGGGGTATCCAGACTAACGCTGTAATCTGGATAAAATGTAAAACAGTAGTTGTGCAATAAAGTTTTGTTTAATTGTAAAAAAAAAAGTAAACTGGTCTAATGGAATTTAATTAGTAATTGAATGATATGACATCATCAATATATCTGAAATTGAAGTTAAAGAACTTTAAAAGATGATGTTTTTTCTTTTTGTCTATGAGAGTGTTAATACTGTATTAATACTGCTTCATATGATTCGGTCAGTAGGGATGCACAATTAGTACTCGTTGGAATACTGACTGTCTGCTGAAAGACCTGAAATACCAATCCACCAATCTCAACCAACATATAAGGCATTTTGATTATACCATCCTCGGGTATATTTTTGTAATCAGTCATGTTCTTTACAAAATAAGATTTTGCTTGACCTAAAACAATAAAGGTGTATAGATCTATGATTCCCATTTTTTTCTTTATTTGTCTGTCTGTCCGTGTTGAAAACATGATATAATTGGATATTCATTTGGGTATCCTTAAATGAAGACGGAAAATATAAAAACGTACCAGAAGATATGCAATATAAAAGAATATGACCATGTGAATGATGAGGTCAATGTCATGTGACCGTTTAAACTCACTTTGCAATGCCTTCATTTTCACAATAGTTGTAGGATATCAATAATTTGTTCTTAGAAAGAGTTGTGCACCTAATGATTCTCCTAAGATATTATAAAGACAGAGATATGTATGTGATTTAACACATTAATTAGATTTGTAAACGACAGTATATACACACTGATAAAATAAGAAAAAAAACTGATTTTTCAAGAAAGAAATATGACAAGTTTTATTTCTTGTTATTAACTTAATTTGTGCATTATCCTTTTCTACATTATATTTAGATTTTGTTTGACAATTCTTATATGATGCCTTCAAACCGCCAAACTTCAAAACATGGACAGTACTTCATCATTGGTGAGCAACGACTTCTTGGTGCGTTGCGAAATAAAGAAGATATCAAGGTAAACATAATCATCTACACTATCAAATTCATATTATCGTTTCGGTACTTATACATCCTCGGATTTCAAATGTTTGGCTTTGAGCGTTCCTGATGAAGGTTAATCCAGAAAAGCGCTTCGGACGCATGAAATTATTAAACGTGTTGTTTTCAATTTTTTATCCACATAGTCATAATCGGAGAGTGTACAAACATCTTGAATTTGAACAATGAACAGTTTTATGAGAATATTCAAATTTTTTTAACAATTCGACACATATCATACACACAATAATGTTATCTGACAACGCTATTGAAATACTTTTGAAACATTGCCGTGAAAAATATATTGAATCAAGATGACTGACAAAATATGATATAATTTTATTATTTGATAGCGTTTGATTTTTTTCACTTTTTATGAAATTTTCCTTTTTGAATTAGCCTTGAAGCCCGGTATTTTATACTTTATTTTTTACCAATTTTGAAGGTTTTCTCTACGTAGAAATTAGCAAAAATGATTTTGGTCATAATTAGTTCTCTGATTTCTCTAATAAGCATCTGAGTGCTTGACTATTACCAGTCGACTTTCTTAATTTTTAAGATTTTATTTAATATTTTAATTAAAAATTTGTATTACATGAAGGGTAGCCTAAATTTAAACTTAAAACTGTAGACATGATATTTCAATCATATTATTAACAGCGAAACGCGGGTTAGTAATGTGTTTTTTTTTCATATATGTTATTGGTACCACGTGTAACGATGACCAGTTACCGTCATTTATGAATGTAGCCAAAAACTGATAGAATTTTATACTTATTCTTAGCATTAATGTCATATTTTTTGCTAAAGTCCAGAAAGAATAGAAGAAGTTAGAATGATTGTAAAAAATGAATCTTAAGCAGAACATATCATTAGTTTATGTCACTGGAAATCAACCAGTTATCCTTTATTGAAGAGGAAGAAAGAACATACTTTTAGATTAATAACCTTAAAGTTTGATAAATTCCCAACAAGAAAGTATTTGAAAACAATGTTTCGTTATTACACAAGTCAAAGAGATGATACATGGTAAATTTAACCAGTAATTCATATAATTTTCGTTTGAAAAATACAGATAATACGATAAAGTATGTACTTTTCTGTTTTGCTAAAATAGTAAGTACAAAAATGTAATTGAACTGCATATCTTCAAAAAGATTCTACGACAATACCCTTTTGATGATTTTGATATTTAGTTTAACAAAAATGTTGTCTGTTACAAATAACACAAACTCTAGGACAAGACAAATTTTAATATAATAAACTCACTACTACATGTACCCCTAAGTTAGACCCAGATATAATGATGAAATTGTTCATTTGCAAAATTCAAACATATTAACAATCTCCAACCTCTTGTCACTTTGAAATTCGATCACCTTTGCTTACTCTCGTTTGTTTCTGTTTTATATAGCGGATTGCTGGAGTAAATGCACAGCAAAAGCCAATGTAAACAAATGAAGATAGCATTTGAAGATGGAGATTGATACGCAAACAAAATGCCAGCGTCTTATTTGGCAGGATATTTTCATTGATGTTAAATATTTCGTGTTGTGTGTGACATACAACTGTATAGACCAATAAATTATATCTATGTTTTTTTCATTTATTCGTTACATATAATTTAATCATCATATTTGCCTTTTCGTAGTTTTGGGTTTGTTTTTTTTTTGCCATGGTTTTATTGTCTCTCATTGATTTATGAGATTCGATTGTCCCTTGGGCTCATCCGCCTCTTTTTTATATAGTGCATAAAATCGGTGAAACCTTGATGTTGTAAATTATTATTTGTTTTTTTTCTTCGTATAATAGTCAAGACCTATATACAAAATGATAAAATTAAAACAAAAAAAAAAAAGACCATGTCAACTTTGCCGTCACAAACTCCGGCGATGTTCTTGTAGTCGCATCATATGGTATGTACATTTAACATATTATAAGCTTCACTAAAATATATTGTAATGAAACTGCATTTAATGAGCTCGAACACAAAACTTTCTGTTCCAGGATTACAGATACCACAATTTTTAAAAACTTTCCAAAAATATTACAGGCGTTATCATTTTATCTAAAAATAGAATGTTTGATGTAATTTCTGACTGCCTTTTATTGTTATGTCGTTGGTAAAACTAATGATATAATTATACCAACTAATGAAAAATGATATTAAAACACGGGATATTTCTTACACCTTCCAACAACAAGGGCTACCGCTATATGTACTTACCAATCCAGTAAAATGGTTCTGTATTCCAATGATCTGACGATTTCAAATACTTACTGGCCTGTCACAAATACTACCGTTTTTAATTTCATTTTTTAATCATTTAAATAGATTAACGAGATTTGAATATCTACAATATAATCATTGCTTTTAATGAGCAGATTTGCATTAAATGATTTCCATTTGAAGATCTAACTCACATAAAAGACATAATTCAAAAATATAATTGCTGATATCTGAAAAAAAAACAATGTATTCTGGACATTTGAAAGATTCAAAATACTTTCTGTTTTTCACATTCAAGGGACAAATATGTCTTTATCATTCATTTTTCTAATTGCATATCAAATCAGATGCAGATTCTAACAAAAATCGCTTGAATCAGCATATAGAATAGGGCACTTCACGGTTATTCAACCATATTGAATAGGGGGCAGATTTTCATAATGGAGATGAAAATGCTTTGAAAAATACGGGAAAACATCATTGAAACAAAACAGTTGCTTGGAAACATGCATAGGTTTTCCCGTACTTTCTTACTATTTCCATGCACCTTCATCCAAAAAATCTGCCCCTATTCAGTATGGCTGCACAAGTGCCCTATTGAAAAAAATACAAATTCATACTTACGCTACTAATTCCTCTTACGGATTTCAATGCTCTTTTACTTTATTTCATTTGGTCTTTCAACTGATTCGTGTGCCACTGATGAGTCTTATATAAACGAACACTCATAGGGCGTATCAAATAATGAGCCTGGTATCTTTGATTACTAATAGTTTATACATGCATTACCTTTTCCTTTTCTGTGATGATTTATTTTAAGATCCCAAAGCTCAAAATCTTTAGAAATAAGAAAAATATATCAAGAGGGTTATCAAAACCACTAAGTCGAAGAAAACAGACAATACCATGTCAAAAACAAAGAAAATAGACAATATCATGTCAAAAACAAAGCCGGATGTGAAGTTATTAGTCGATGGTTAGTCGTGTATCTTGACCATTCCATTAGTTTTCAAATTACGTACTAGCGCTAATCTGAAACTAATGAAATGAACATCTTTATTGTAGCTGTCAAAATTATTTGTTCAATAAAAGGGACCAAAGAATTAAAAAAGCACCGTCTCATATGATATTTTTAAAATACACAAGTTAAAACATCAATGAGACAGAACTATTTGACAAATTGTGTAAAGGTGATTTACAACAATTATGCAAAGCTTGCATCTGAAAGCCTGCTTTTTAAGAAAAGGTCATTTCAACTACAAGTGAAAATTTCATGAGTCAAAAACATTATGAAAAACATTGATAGTTCAATCATCTGGGAAACAAAATCATATTATTGAATTATCCAAAGAGTTTGTATGGAATAAGTTTAAAGTGACATTTCTTATCTTTCTATTCATCAAAATCTTATCATCTGTCATAAATGACATTGTTTTTTACTAATTTATTTAAATAAAAAAAAATAATATAATAATAAACTACTAACGAGGAGATGCTTTTATCAACGGGTATTCTTTATACTTGTATTCTAATGGTGGAATCGGCTGCATGGTATCCACAGATGGTTCGTCACTTTTTATCATAATTTTTATAGTTATTTACACACTATCAGTTTTTTTGGTGAAATAAAAAATGACAGATATCACATTTTAGATATTTTCTTAATTAGTTCGTTTGTAAATATTCCTTGAAATTGAAAAATGCATACATCTAAATTCAAAAGGGGGAAGTCCACAAAACCTGACAATAGAAGAGTATAGTAAATACTGGAGTTTTGACTGCTTTTAAAACTAAAATGATCTTATCATTTATATCGCAATGCACCTTAAAATCACAGGCGCTTGTTTCTTATAGGTTTTTACCTATATATCTGATATAAGGTACAAAGATAACAAAAATCAGAGACAAAAGAGTAGATGTTCTAAAAAAATAAAATGAAATGAATTGATGTAGTAACTATTTTATCGGTGTATATAAACTCATCATAGATGCCAGGATTAAAATTTTGTACGCCAGACGCGCGTTTCGTCTACAAAAGATTCATCAGTGACGCTCGAATCAAGAAAAGGTAAATTTAGAGCTAAATAAAGTACGAAGTTGAAGAGCATTGAGGACACCAAAATTTCGAACGGTTTTGTCAAATTCAGGTAAAGTAATATATTCCATGGGTAGAAAATCCTTATCATTTCGAAAAATTCAAAGTTTTATAATCAGTTAATTTATAACTATGACCATATCAATGTTAATTCATGTCAACTCAGAAATGATGACTACTGGGGTGGTGATACCCTCGGGGAGAAACCTATATAACTTTCTGTTTATGAAAAATTATAATCTCGTAAGATATTCACGTCGTCAGTGTCGGTATTATTGTGTATACAACACACGCAGTAATAGCATCACTAAATGTTGGCAATTATTCATGTGTCTGTCTTTTTTGAAAGTTGACCAGAGAACATGAACGTTACAGGGAAAATAGTTATGAACCATTGTATACTTTTGAATATCCCGACTTTTGGTGGGGTTCGTATTGCTCAATCTTTTAGTTTTCATTGTAATTACTTGTGGACTTGTTCGTTTTATCGTCGTTTTTCTTCGACTTTTGAATTTCGCCTATTTATTGAAAGACTTAACCTTATGAGTTTGAATGTCCCTTTGGTATCTTTCGCCTCTCTCTTATATAATAAACTAATCCGAAGAATCCGTTGACAATCTTATCATGTCTAACTATTAGATGGTTACTTAGAAATGTCTGCGTTGTTGGTTTACTCTTTTGTTAGCTATTCTACATTTCCTTTTGTTCGTTACTTATAGTTTACCATTACTAGATTGTTTACTTTTTATAATTTTTGTTATGTTTGTGGTTGAATTTTTGAAATACTAAGGCTTTTCTACCTCAGGAATAGATAACCTTAGCTGTATTTGGCAAAACTTTTAGGAATTTTTGGTCCTCAATGCTCTTCAACTTCATACTTTATTTGGCCTTTTTTACTTTTTTTGATTTCAAGCGTCACTGATGATGTTTTTTTAGACGAAACGCACGTCTGGCGTAAATACAAAAAATTCAATCCTGGTATCTATGATGAGTTTATTGTTCATTGTTTTCTTTTTGTTACTTCAGGGGAGAGCGATGTTTGTATTTTATGATAATACTCTATGAAGTTGTAATAGTCTATGGACAGTGGGTTTAACTTTAAAAGTTATTTTGAACCTTCCTTATGGCAATTAATAAAATATTAAGACATCTTTTTTGTTATGTTAACGGAAAGTTGTTAATTTTCATCTTATTCTAATATTGACTGCTAAAGAGTGTGCTTGAACTGGATGATGATCAGTTCCAAGGCGAAAAAAAACCAACAACAACAACAAACGCTTATTTTCAAAAAATTTGATTATCAAAGCTAAGCATACTAATTTGTCATAAATAATAATATGCCTTTTCATGTTTTCTATGAACGCTAACTATAATTCAAATTCAACACCTCCGTCTTATTAAGACGAAATGTGCGTCTAGCGGCCAGATTTATAAGCCAGGCATGCATCTTTTACTAGTTTTTGTTTTGCTTTCTTCAAGTTTTGTGTAACATTTATTTATCGTAACTTATATTTGTGACTGTATTTCCTATGACCTTTTAACTTCATTTCTTTAAATGCATCTGTTGTCCTAATAGTTGTAGGACATCAGTTCCTGCTTTTCGAACGAGTTTAGCATCTTACAAATAAATAAAAACGCAACTATAACAAACAAAAAACACATAAAGTTTGCAGCAGTTTCAACACATGGATTGTTTAACAAAACCATCTTTGTGAAATTAACTCTTATTTATTCTTTAACATTTAAATTGTAATATTTATCCCTGCATATATTATATTTAGATTTTTTTTGGCGATTCTCATACGATGCCTTTAAATCGCCATAACTTTGAAGGTGGACAGTACAACATCAATAGAGAGCAAGGAATTCTAGGAACGCTGCGCAATAAAGATTACAAGGTATAACGATTATCTGTTTTATAAATGCAAATAACACTTTATAGATTTTGTACGCCCGATGCGCTTTTCCAGATAAACTTTCATCAGGAACGCTTAGACCTAATTATTTGAGTTTATTTGAATACTTGAGGTGCTATATGGCCAAAAGGGGAAACAATAGCCAAGTTCAACTTGGATCAACTTTACCTAAGGATGTTGCAACCTTAGTTTCTTGTAAAAGTTATTTTGATCACGTACAATTGATCACATATCAATACAATAATATATTTCCTTTAATCCCAGCCAACCCTGAGCCCAGCCCATCAAAAATAAATAAATGAACAAGATAAATACAAACAAACAAATCAACACTTTCACATTTTCTCAATGACAATGTTTAAATGGTTTTAGAGCTGACCTTCTGAATGCGTTATGATTAATAAAAAAAAAAATATTTTACATTAAGAGGAATTCTCTATTTATAAAATGCTATAAAAAGATTGACTCTTTTTTTAAGCTTCTCATGAAATCGCATTATATTTGCTTACACACAAGGAGAAATAGCGGAAACAAGTTTGACAGATGAAAACAGTTCTATCATAATTTAAAGGTGTTTGTAATTTGCATAGTAGAATAATAAAAAAGGTACACTCGATTTTATTTCAACAGCCATTGTATTTCTCCCCCCCGATGTCAAAATCTATAATTGCGTTTAAACTACTTTAACTAGTTTTGCTTCTGCTATAAGTATCTAAAATGACAAAAACATGTTGGAAAAGATTTATAAACCCATTATATGTTGACCATTCTACCATGCAAAATTGCACGACCCCCTCCCCTCCCTGGATGTCAGAATTTCAAATTATCAAAGCATTTAAAGTACATTATCTAGGTAAAGTTATAATGCCTCGTAAAGGATCTAAAATAAATATTCGTGTGTTATCAAAGATGTCAGAACACTATTTCTGACTCGTGGCATTTTTAACCCCTAAGATGTCAGAATTCCTTAAAGCGTTTAAACCGAAAAACGACGAAATGACAAACAACAGTCTACAACAGATTCTACATCTACTAAATACTGAGCGACACAAACCCCACCAAAGTCTGATATGATTTTACTTAGTGATACTGCAATCAGTATCTGGAATGAAAAACAGATGACGGGAAAAGTATTCTAAGTCATTTTTTTCCCCCATTACCAAGGAAAATTGCCCTTTCTGAAGATGTCAGAATTTCCATGGCTAAGAAATATTGTTAATGTATCTTTTCCATCATAGCTCTTTTAACTACTCGAATAAGTGTCTAGAATTAAAACCATCTGCCTGAAAGGAAACCTTAAGGATTTTCTAGAATATCTAAATTCTGACATCTAAAATAGGTATTTGGCGATGGGGGTAATTTTCGATGGTAATGGGAGATCAAAATACTATGGTTAAGACAAATTCTTCCTTGTGTATGATATCTTTTTCAACATATGCTTTGGATTCCAGATACTTTTTGGAGTATTAGTACTTGACAGTACTTTAAATTAGAGGATACTGACGGGAGCATATAAAGGAATAAATTTGGGTGCAGTTAGGGCTATTCCAAGTAAATGTATATACACATGGGTGTCTATGGTCAATTTACTGTTTGCCCATGATCCTCAACATATGGTTTCTTCCATGTACAGGACAAATCTTTTATTTGTGGTGAATAATCATGCAAAGTTTCACTCATGAGCCCCAAGGGTCTTTTAAATTTAGAAAGCGGAAACGATTTTTGTATATATGCTAACGAGTGGATTAGTTTTACTAAATTTTATACCATACTTTTCAATATGATGTTTTCTTCAATGTAGGGGACACACCTTCTGATAGTGGTGAATAATCACGGCACGTGTCATCACTAAACTCTAGGGGTTTTTAAAGTTAGATAGCTTAAACAATTCGCGATTGGCAGACAGACAAGCTGAATAATATAGGTCTTCCGAAGCACTAATAACTATCATAATTTGAAATTCTGACATCTAAAGGGCAATGTTCCATGGTAGGGAGCCAAAATACCGTGGCTAAGAAATAGTATTGAAAAATTGAGATTTTCAGACATCTAAAAGGTAAAGGGGGTCAAAATACTATAGTGAAAGAAAAAGTGTTATATATTATATCTACTTTTATGTCATATGGAGGACCCAGAGATCATAAGGCCTGTTTAAACTGCCCAACATTTTGGTTTTTTTACAATACGACCACTCATGCCTACATTCTTTTGTTTCCGTTTTACACAGCGGAATCCCGGGATTGGTGCAGTAAATCCACAGCTAAAGCCTCAGCGAAATCGACAGCCAAAGCCACAGAGAGAAAGACGGATGGTTATACTGAAAAAACCAAGAACATTGTAGCAGAGAGAGAGATAAATACACAAAACAGAGTATGTCTGAAAATTCTGATTGATACTGTGTAGTAGGTGTTACCTAATTGGCGGTCTATATTAAAACAAAAATTTTTGTATTGAATGTTTGATATTTATTCTTAAATTGTGTAACGACGATAAAATGCACTTTGTAGAAAGTCTTCAATGTTTTCATGCGATTCAATGTTGGTTTGAAATTTTTTTAATCATTGAAAGATCTTCATATTTAACAGCTTAGAGGACGACACTGGATTATGTACTGAAGTTATTTATTATCGCGATTGTCATTGATATCTACAACAATGGTCCTACGCGTGAAAAGAATAAGTAGGCGATACAAAGGGTTGGTCCAAAGATAAAAAAAAACATGTTCTTAGTCATTTTATGGCATGTGAACTAGAAGATCAAATTATACTTTGCTTTAAACGTCATAAAGATTGATTGATTGATTGGTATTTAACGCCACTTTCAGCACTGTTGCGCTATTTCGTGGTGGTCAGTTTTTAATGGCAGAGAAAGCAAACGCTATAAGGAAATGTTCAACACAAATCATTAAAAATGCTGGTCAATAACATTAAGGTACGAATTTTTCTAAACCAGATGCGCATTTCGACAATAAACATCTCTTCAGTGATGATTACTAAATTAAAAACTTTTTACCAACCTTTAAATTCTTCGAAAAACTCAGGATTTTCTACCCCAGGATTTCATTGGTCTGGCTTTTAAAGAATTACCAAGTAATGATGTCACATTTAACAAAACTACCATTACATTATATATAAGACTTGTATTTGTTTATTTCTCTTTTTAAATCAACTATACTTTAAATTAACTGTTTTAAAAACTTTGAATTGTTTGAAATTCTAAGGATTTTCTTCCCTTTTGGAATTTTGGGTCCTCGATGCCCTTCTCCCAATAAAATAAATAAAAAAAAAAAAAATAGAAATCAACATCAACATCAACATCAGCATCAGCATACCGTCATTAACAATAAAAGTAAAATATCAAAAATACCGAACTCCAAGCAAAATTCAAATCGGAAAGTCCCTTTTTAATGGCAAAATCAAAAGCTCAAACGAATGGAAAATAACTCATATTCCTGACTTGGTACAGGCATTTCCTTATGTAGAAAATGGTGGATTAAACATGGTTTTATAGCTAGTTAAACCTCTCACTTGTATGACAGTCGCATAAAATTCCAATGTTAGCGGGATACAATTTTGTCATTTCTGAATAGGTCGTAGACGTTTACAAGTTGTGAATACATTATCAGAGACTATCAAATTTCTGCCATCAACGCCATACTTTTAAAAGGAAACACCAAAAACCACAAGACAGTGAAATACAACAAATGACAACCACTGACGTAGTCTTTGAGTTGTAACAGACGCATTAAAGTTAGACAGGGTTAAACTAATTTTATTATGGTACCTGATCCTCGCTCCTTTTCTACCAAGTTCAGTGGAATCCAGATAGGTCAATAGATGACCGCACCCTGTCATAATTTCAGTGCAAATTTTAATTTTGTACTTTAACATTACTTTTTTCTGTCAATGCCTTTGATGGTCCTGAGATTGTCTATTTGTAGATCATATGCACGGGTTCGTATTGTCTAATCTTTAGTTTCCTGTGTATTGTTATTTGTTTATTCTTTTTATTTTTATTTTGGCTTGTTGTCAAACTTTCCCTCAACTTATTGCTCTCATTTTTATTTATGTTTTCAGATATTTGGCCTAAATTAAAACCGTTCTGAGTATCCAAATAAAGCTGTGTTTTGACTTATTGAAGAGCTTTATGTGAAATGCATTCAGTTGTAGTTGACCTTTCATTGTTCATAGAAAACTATCAGTTTCAACCACAATGGACAATTATAACTTGATTAGAAGTCTATCTATAACCTTGCCCTTCCTAAAATTAATAGGAATCTTCTTCATTTCATGGGGCATTTTCAAACTAAATTTGATAAAGTAGGGCATATGTTTCAAAAGATAAAAACTGGAAAAATCAAAAATGTTGCCCTAATTTCAGTCCATCAGTAGCTGCTGCGACCTTTACCTATGACCTTTTGACCCAAAAATCAATAAGGCTCTTTCTTCCTCACCCTGTTGATAAAGATTGTATTTATTGTTCAAAGGAAGTATAGATATTTTTTTTTCATTGAATAAAACTTAAAGACAGGAACAACTGGCCCCTAGCAATTCAGAGCTTGATATACGGTATTTACAAGTTTTTGTTGAAGACAATATGTCAACATCTTGATGGCCTTCCTGCTGTGGTTGTATTTTTGCATTTCATTGGTGTAGAAATGAATCATATGATTAAAACCTAATTATGTGCGTTTCAGGGCAAGAATAAGTTCATGAAAAAAATAATTTTATATAAAACAAAATTGCAGTTTATTATCAATACATGATATTCAGTTTATAACAAATACATGATTTTAACATATGGAATATTTCAAGAGAATAATTAAACAAAAAAAATAATCTTAAAATAAATGGGGAATGTGTCCATGGGACACAGATGATGCCCCCGCTTGCATATCAAATAAAGTTATAAAGGGACATAACTGAAGAACGGTAAAAGTGATGCTACCCAAATTTGTACTTGATCTGAGTTTTGTGGTAATCAGTATTGTGTATAAGTCTCATAACATTTGGTTGAGGCTAACTTAAGTAAGAGAACAGAAACGAAAAATTCAGCAATTTTTCCATTTGTAAAGGGGCATAACTCTAGAACGGTTAAAGTGACCCCACCAAAATTCAAACTTGATCTGTGTTTTGTGGTAATAAGCATTGTGTATAAGTTTCATAACATATGGTTGAGGCAAACTAAAGTTAGAGAACAGAAACCAACTTTGGGACGTACGGACGGACAGACAGAGGTACAGACGGACAAGGGTAAAACTTAAAGCCCCCTCCGCTACGGCGGGGGCATAAAACCCATAAAATTCAAATACAATGTACATTTGAATCTTAGCAAAGGTTTCAAACAGTTTTCCTGGACTTCTCAAGAAATTTAAAAGTTAATAATCTGGTGGAAATTTTGTTAGTTCTTGTTGTAAATTGTATAACCCTGTTGTTACTCAACTGTGTTAGATTTATAATTAAGTCAAATAAAATAACTTTTTACTAGAGTATAAACTATTATAAAGCTATCACTTACTCAAATAAATATGTAAAGATACCCATTTATAAGAAGTACAACCACAATTCCTTTAAAGTTTTGAACATTTCATTTCAGGCGAATATCTGGAAAAAAATATCTTTCCAACACAACTCTAGTTTATATGGGTCTGACAAAATAAAATTGTAGAGTTAAATGGGAACAAAATCTTTCATTCCTATGGGTAAATTGTAAGCATAATTTATAATCATATTCAAAGATGGACTTCCAAAACACTAAATGTAGCTGGTATCAATTCTTTAAATAAAGGTTATGCAACAGAAATGTTAAATTGCATACTAACAAATATAACTCACTATCCAGTAATGTGTGCTGTTGTATACTATTCATTTTTATTACTGCAGTTTAATTTTTTGAAACTGAACAAATATTCAAACAAATAAACCATAGAATAAAAAATAAAATAAATGTTTAACACTAATGAAGATGTTATCAACACTGATTAGTAGTTTTAAATAGATTTATGAACATTTACTATTAAAATGATCAATTAAATTAGAAATATTAGATGAAATTTAGGTAAATACAAATGTATTTCAATTATTGCTTGGATAACATAATTACGGTATGCAGACAAGATTGAACCTTTTACACCACTTCAGTGATATTCTAATAAAAATGTAATTTCATGAAAATTGAGTGATGACTGATAACTAGTTAAAATATATTTTATCATCCGATTTCATAAAATTTTAACCATTCAACTATAGATATTTCTATTTTCCTATGATAATTATCACAATTACTTTACATCTTTAGTTAACAGAATTCACAAGTCAAAGATACAAGAAGCTATTAAGAGTCTGAATTTGCTCCAATGGCGAAAAGATGCCATTAAGATATTCATTTTCCCCTTTATTGTGAATTTTTTTGTTTTCAAATATACAGCCTATATCTTTTTTCAAATACACAGCTTCTTAAGTGCATTCAAGTGAAATTAAGGCCATTAAATAATTTTTGCTCTTCAGTGTCTGAATGACATTATTTATTTGAGCAACATTCAGGATAAAACAAATATTTTCCATGAAAATTTTCAAACCATCACAATACTTTATACTAAAATGATTAAATTTGATTGCTTATCAAATCAGAATATATTTAAAAAAAAACCTAAAGATTCAAAAAGTCACCATTAAAGGGCAATTTCTCCTTTAACCAGACAGTTTCTGTTATGGGACTTATTTGTATCTCACATCGAGGATCAATTTTGTTTTATGCTTACCTTCAGAAGTCTTTTGATTATTTTTGTCAATGGGTTGTTGCTTTTTCATTGACTTTTAATCCACATTTCCTTTTGTTAAAATTTTGAAAGAAATATCAAGGCTCTTATTCAAGGCAGACTCATTATTAATAATGCTTGTTTTATTTTGAAAATTTGAGTTTTGCTTTAATATAAACTATATACAGATAGTGAAATTTATTATAAATTTTATTTTAAATTTAGGGGCTTCATTTTATTCATAATGATGTACTTTAATAAGACCTTTTTTTTAAAACTATCATCATGTTGAAAATACTGTCAGACAAAATATTCATTAATAAGATATTTTACATTCACAAAATATTCACTGTATAACTTACATATATAGATAAAATCTTTTTATAGTATATAACATGTATACTATCAGTGTTACTAAACCAAATCAATATAGACTACTTGAATACTATTGTTTTTAATATAACTGTTCATATATATCTGTAAATTTTACAACCTTTCACATGATTTGTAGTTTTCTAACACTGTTAACATGATTGTAAATAAAAATAAAAATAAATGGAAATCATCCCACCTACTTCTCATCATTTTTCTTTAAATAATACAGTGAAAAGAATGACTATCATTCCTTTGCATAATTTTATCATTTTACAAAACAAATTTGAAGAAATTTGTATATCTTGTAAAAAATCTTTTTGAATGAGTCTATATTAAGTTGTTACAAAAAGTTCATGATTTTTGCATTTTATAAAGTCTGCACACAACTGGTTCACTTTCCTATGCAGTTCATGATTAGATTCTGTTATTTTTTTTTTTTTTGGTGCAGATACATGGATTTCGTACAATAACTTCTTGTAATGTTTGGCACATATTAAAAAAATAAATAATAAAAAACACCTTGTAATTGTGACAAATTGAAACATATGCCTGTTCTTTAATCACATCTTGATTATAGCTACTTGCATACATAATATCACATGGCCTGCATGCCAAGCACATAGTCACATGGTGGTGGGTCTATCATTTGATTGGATGCATGATGTCCAATTAAGACTACTCTGCAAGTCAGATGACAGGAAGACATGGATAACACTTGAAATAGGTGTCAAAGTTTTTCCTTCTGTTGTTTATTGTTAATTCTGTATGCCTTTTCTTCAGCTCTCCTGAAAAAAAATAATATTCAATGATTAAAATGCTGTCACTTTAAAAAGAAGTTCTGGCATACAATTTCTTATTTAGTGACGTTGTTAATGGTTTTTCCATCACAACATGTCAATAGATAGTATTGGCTTGATGCAATTTGAGCAATAGTTATATCCCTTTTGTCACCATGTTGGAGATCTCCATGCACAAATTCCTTCATTAATCAGCACAGGTCTTGGTGGCTGAGTGATCTTAGCAGTTCAACTACTTTATCACCAGCTTGTCAACTGTGGTTGTGAGTTTGAACCCTGCATGTGGAAGGTGTGTTTGACTCAAATCTTAATTGACTAGGATTGGCAGTATTCCTGCCAAAGGTAGGGGACTCTGTCCAGGCACTCTGGCTTCCTCCACAAAAAAAAACTGGATGCCAAGACATAGCCATTGTGTTGAAAGTGGCGATGAACACCAAAATTCAATGAATCAACCATTAATCATCAAAATCAGACTTGTTATATAATGTTTGCTAGATTTTAGAAAGTTTTCTGAACAATTTTAATTTTACTTCATTGATCACTATGGTGTAGTAAGGATTTCTTATCAGACTTGTTTGTACTAGATGGTTGTTCAAATAAGAAAAATCCACCATATACAACCCAAAAATTGTTGATTCTTCTGGCTTGTTATTATGTAGTGTTAAGCACTTTCCTCTAATATTATAACAATAAAAAGATGGAAATTTCTCACTGTACACTGATACATCCCTTTTGATGAAAAACAAATGTTGCAAACTGCTTCTACTCATGTATTGCAAAAACATTACCATGCAGTAAATCCCAATGGAGGTTATAAAAGCATCCTATCTCACTGTTAGTAATCAACTAAGACTATTAAAATCATGTCTATTGGTCTCTGGTGGATAGTTGCCTCAATCGCAATTAAACCACATATCAATTTTTTTTATATAATGGGTGAATTCAACAGCCAAAAGAAGGGGGTATAGGTCATAACAAAAGTTATCAACCAGAAACCTTTCCTTGAAATACAGATGATCAAAAAGAATTTTGATAGGAAAATTAATATAACAGAAGTAAAAGCAGAAAAGACTTGATATGCTTTTTGCAGTAGATACTGTAAAAGAACATAATTTCATTTAGAAGATTTATCACACAGATATTCAAAGCTATACACATGAATGGAAAAATTACCTTGTCAAATCTTCTATATCTACAAGTTTAGAATCCTGCATCATATGTAGATCATCTCTTTCCATAAGTAATTTTACTAAGTCTTCATTTAAATCTGAAAATATTAATTTAGTGTTAACAAAAGTAAATCAGGACATAATCAGCTGATCATATACTCAACATTTTGTAAAAAAAATGAATATTGATTCAAAGACAGTACAAAGTTTTGGTTTTCATATATTTTTGCCTCGAGCATCATTGAAGAGAGATTAATTGTCAAAATGTGCATCTGGTGTGCAGTAAAATTGGTACTATTAATGTTATAACTTATTATAAACAGACAGGTATTTCTCAAAATTTCAATCAAGTTATAAATGTGGCCTTTAAGCATCGTCATTTTTAAAATTAGTTAAGGAATCATCATAGAGATATAAGATAAACATAGGCCAAAAGAAAAACATATGTCTGTTTACAGTTACTCGACCGACCCTAATTTGAGCGCCAACCCCAAGTCATTTTATTTCAGTCGTACAGAGTAAAATAACTGAACTCTTGTCAAAAATGAAGTTAGAGTTGCCAATAAATTTAATCAATTGCCTGATACATCCCAATGTTCACAATTATGAATATGACAGCTGTTTTAAGGAAACTCCCAACTCGTGTGATAAAATAAACACTTTGCCCCCATTTTTTTCCAACAAATAACCAAAGGAAATAATCCAATCATTAAAAATACAGGTAAACTCAGTCCATGGATAACTCTGACCACTCCAATACAGACAGCACGAATCAAAAACATGTCGCAAAAAATAAAATAGAAATACCGACCTACTTACCCTATTTTGTTTATGACGTAACCTTAAACAGACATATACTTTTTTTTTGGCCTTGATAAATGAGACAGCAACACAAAGCCACAAAGAAATCTAAAGATTTATAGAGGTCAACATAAACCTTCAACAATGAAAGTGTCAATACAATATGTTCGTAGTGGAGAGAGGTAATTCCTTTGTTGATAAATTATAAAAACTTAATTTCAATTACGGCCATTGTGAATCATCTATACTCATGCTACATCTTTTATTGTTGGTAACTACATAACCAGAAATAGAGGCTAGCCTTGTACATTCTGTTAATTATAGCCTACACACAGGCTCATTACTTTATTAATTAAAGATAAAAACAGGAATGAAAGCAGTTTTTGTTTGTTTTATATAGTAAAACATACTCTCTTTCATACAATACAGAAGTACATATATAGTATAGCATATTCATTTGATGTTAATAATCAATATGAAACCTTTTTATACTTGAAGCATCTGGACTAAATAATGAGAGATGTAGACAAATCTGACAAATTTATCCTTTAAGATTATCTGATATCAGGTTTTTAGTTGATTAAGCATCAGACTAGATATTCTAGTGTTTTTATTCTTCTTGTGTCTAGATGTGACGTTACAGTATTATCTACCTCATCATTTTGATACACCTCTAATATAAAATATTACAAGTTATGGTGTTGTGTGAAGATCTGCACTGCTACAGATACCAGAACTTCATATAACTTACTTTCTATTTGTGTGTGAAGGTCATTGACCAGTGTCTGTAACTGTCCTACATTCATCTCATAAACAGATTTACCATATCTATGATGGTTAGAAAACGGGAGACCAATCTACAAATAAAAATAATTGTTTTACTTGTAATCTAAACTTGTGCCTTTCATACCTCTTCTTTCATGAACTTCTTTTTAAGTATCTATTGGTTTAATTATAAAACCACTGAAGTCTGACTTTAGGATCTTGTCTTGTCACCATAAAATACAGTCAGTTTGTGAACTCATATTATAGAATTTCTCCTATGGGTCTTAAACTGATAAATAAATGAATGTTAAATGTTACGCAGTAAATAGAACATGCATCAACAGGACAACTACATCTTAATATGATATGATCATGTTTAGTTCACTGACTCAGATCTTCAACAAGCATGCTAATAATGTAATAATCCACAGAAATACATGTACCATTCTCACTCCAAGCTAACAAGGTAACAATCCACAGAAATACATGGACCATTCTCACTCCAAGCTAACAATCCACAGAAATACATGTTTTATTCTCACTCCAAGCTAACAAGGTAACAATCCACAGAAATACATGTACCATTCTCACTCCAAGCTAACAAGGTAATAATCCACAGAAATACATGAACCATTCTCACTCCAAGCTAACAAGGTAACAATCCATAGAAATACATGTACCATTCTCACTCCAAGCTAACAAGGTAACAATCCACAGAAATACATGAACCATTCTCAATCCAAGCTAACAAGGTAACAATCCACAGAAATACATGTACCATTCTCACTCCAAGCTAACAAGGTAACAATCCACAGAAATACATGAACCATTCTCACTCCAAGCTAACAAGGTAATAATCCACAGAAATACATGTACCATTTTCACTCCAAGCTAACAAGGTAATAATCCACAGAAATACATGTACCATTCTCACTCCAAGCTAACAAGGAAAAAATCCACAGAAATACATGTACCATTCTCACTCCAAGCTAATAAGGTAACAAGAGTGCACACGCTGAAATGTCTAGCCTACGATCCAAGAAAATGAGGTCAAGGTCAGATAAACTAAGCCGGAAATACATGTACACCTTTAATACAATACCTCCATACACAGAATATAGATGACCTATTGCTTATATATATATATATAGTATAAAAGAAACAGACCAAACCATGGAAATTCTATATTGACCAATGAACCATGAAAATGAAGTCAATGTCATTTAAACCCTGCCAGACAGACATGTATACATTAAAATCATTCCAAATATAGTTGACCTATTGCTTAAGGTATCTAAGAAAAACAGTTAACCAGAAAAACTGAACATTTACCAAGCAACCATGAAAATGAGGTGAAGGTCAGATGATACCTGCCAGACAGACATATACACCTTACAATCATTCCATACACCAAATATAGTTGACCTATTGCTTAAAGTGTAAGAAAAACAGACCAAAACACAAAAACTTAACATAAGCAATGAACCATGAAAATGAGGTCAAGGTCAAATAAAACCTGCCATACTGACATGTACATCATTAAATATTTCCATACACCAAATATAGTTGACCTACTGCATACAGTATTAGGAAAACAGACCAAAACACAAAAACTTAACATTTAGCAATGAACCTTGAAAATGAGGTCAAGGTCAAATAAAACCTGCCATACTGACATGTACATCATTAAATATTTCCATACACCAAATATAGTTGACCTACTGCATACAGTATTAGGAAAACAGACCAAAACACAAAAACTTAACATTTAGCAATGAACCTTGAAAATGAGGTCAAGGTCAATTAAAACATGCCAGACTGACATGTACATCATAAAATATTTCCATACACCAAATACAGTTGACCTATTGCATACAGTATTAGAAAAACAGACCAAAACACAAAAACTAAACTATGACCACTGAACCATTAAAATGAGGTCAAGGTCAGATGACACCTGCCAGTTGGACATGTACACCTTACTATCATTACATACACCAAATATAGTAGACCTATTGCTTATAGTATCTCAGATATGGACTTGACCACGAAAACTTTACCTTGTTCACTGATCCATGAAATGAGGTCAAGGTCTAGTGAAAACTGTCTGACGGGCATGAGGACCTTGCAAGGTACGCACATACCAAATATAGTTATCCTATTACTTATAATAAGAGAGAATTTAACATTCCAAAAAATCTGAACTTTTTTTCAAGTAGTCACTGAACCATGAAAATAAGGTCAAGGACATTGGACATGTGACTGACGGAAACTTCGTAACATGAGGCATCTATATATAAAGTATGAAGCATCCAGGTCTTCCACCATCTAAAATATAAAGCTTTTAAGAAGATAGCTAACGCCCACCGCCGGATCACTATCCCTATGTCGAGCTTTCTGCGACAAAAGTCGCAGGCTCGACAAAAATGCAAAGAAATACATGTACCATTCTCACTCCAAGCTAACAAGGAAACAATCCATAGAAATACATGTACCATTCTCACTCCATGCTGACCAGTCGTTGTTCTTACTCACTCTTAATATGCCATATATTCAGAAGCAGCATATACTAATGTCAAAATATTAGGTTTGAACTTCCCCCTGATTAAATCAACAACCTTAAGGCAGGCAAGGTTCAGCTAGACTAGAGAGGCAGCTGAGGTGTCAAGAAAGTTACATGAAACTTATCCAAGTCATTTCAGTCATAAGCCTTTCAATATATATATTATATCTTTAGTGACAACTAAATTCCTACTTACAATATCAGCTACAGGTGATTGCTTCTTTTTCTGTTTTTCTACTTCTACTTGCATATGAGCCATAGTACTAGCCTGAAAAATAAAATATATTGTCAATATCTTAAAGTAAACAATTAAACAATTTTTTATAGAAGATACATTCTGTCACCATGAGCAAAAACTTTTCAAATACCTTTACAGCAGATATAAAGATATCATAAAATGGTGAAATCTTTTACAGGTACCAAATTTTAATATAAATAAAGGGAATTATTGTGGAAGAATGTGAAAGTTATTTTTCATACCCAGCTTTGAACAGTAATATCATTCATGAAGTAAATCAAAATAACATTTAAATAAATGAGGAATGTGTCCATGGGACACACATGATGCCCCCGCTTGCATATCATATAAAGTTATAAAGGGACATAACTGAAGAACAGTAAAAGTGACACTACCCAAATTTGTATTTGATCTGAGTTTTGTGGTAATAAATATTGTGTATAAGTTTCATAACATTTGGTTGACGCAAACTTAAGTTAGAAAATGGAAACGAAAAAGTCAGCAATTTTTTCCGTTTGTAAACGGGCATCTCTAGAACTGTTAAAGTGACACCACCAAAATTCAAACTTGATCTGTGTTTTGTGGTAATAAGCATTGTGTATAAGTTTCATAACATTTGGTTGAAGCAAACTAAAGTTAGAGAACGGAAACCAACTTTGGGACATACAGACGGATAAGGGTAAAACTTAATGCCCCCTCCACTATGGTGGGGGCATAGAAATGTTCCATTTCAGAAGAACTATTCTTGATTTATATCATCAGGAACACAACCTAACCCCCCACCCTTGAACTTGAACACAAGTTATTGTCTGGAAACTAGAAAAATGCTTATTTTTGGCCCCTTTTTGGCCCCTTATTCCTAAACGTTTTGGGCAATTACCCCCAAACTCAATTCCAGCTTTCCCTTTGTGATATGGAACCTTGTAGTACAATTTCATAAAGATCCATACACTTACACACAAGTTATAGTCATGAAACTAGAAAACTGCTTGTTTTTTTTCCTTTTTTGGCCCCTAATTCCTAAAATTTGGAGGCAATTACCCCCAAAATCAATCCCAGCATTCCCTTTGTGATATGGAACCTTGTGGTACAATGTCAGAGAGATCCATACACTTACACACAAGTTATTGTCATTAAACTAGAAAAATGCTTGTTTTTGCCCCTTTTTGGCCCCTAATTCCTAAAATTTGGAGGCAATTACCCCCAAAATCAATCCCAGCATTCCCTTTGTGATATGGAACCTTGTGGTACAATGTCAGAGAGATCCATACACTAACATACAAGTTATGTCTGGAAGTTATTTACAAAAATGCTTATTTTTGGCCCCTTTTTGGCCCCCAATTCCTTAACTGTTGGTACCATAACCCCCAAAATCAATCCCCACCTTCCTTTTGTGGTATTGAACCTTATGGTAAAATTTCATAGAGATCCATTTACTTAAACTAAAGTTAGAGTGCGAAAACTAATGTGTCATCAGGAACACAACCCAACCCCCCCCCCCCCCCCTAAAATCTAAGTGCTTGTGAGCACTGGTGGGTAAAGATTGCTTTCATTTTGCACTTTGAGAATTTTAAATAAAACATTGAATTGTATTTTGGTAGGGATTTTTGAGTTGGAGTTATCTTCCTTAGTTCATGATTGTACATGTGTAGTTGAACCTATTTTTATAACAGATTCATACACCATGAATTACTTATGTAATTTTTTCTTTCAAAAAATGTTTTCTTGACAAGAATGGTAATTCAAATACACATCATACTGTAACTTAAATATCAAAGTATAACATATCATCAAAAAATTGCATGACATTGACTGGATTGGATCTAAATAATGATCACTTCACTGCACTATATTGTTTGAACTATCAAAGGTAATGATCAACCTTGGAAGATATAGATATCAAGTCAGTACCATAGGGTTTTGATTGCATTTCATGCAATCTTTACCCAAAAATGTAAGTATGTACAACTAACTGAATATGTGAGGAGATATATGACCAAAAGTGGACTGAAAAAGAATAGCCAAATTCATCGAAGGTCAGCTTTGACTGAAAAAGAATAGCCAAATTCATCGAAGGTCAGCTTTGACTGAAAAAGAATAGCCAAATTCATCGAAGGTCAGCTTTGACTGAGGAATTAAGAATCTTAGTTTCCAATTTTTTTCTTAATTGAAAGAGAATGGAAATGTGTTATAAATCATGTTAAAAAAAAGTTAACAAAGCAATACAACCTCATACCAAAACAGAATACCTGAAATACTAGTTGTCTATTGGCAACACTTATTCTGAAATATAACTGATCAGAAAACTGTAAAATCATTAATGTAACTGAAACCTGACTAACAGGTCAGAGCCATGTATTCTTCTTGAAACTTTAATGTAGTGATGCTTATTCATAATACAATTTATCATGTAGCATATCAAATTCAAATGAACTCATATAAGTATTCTTTTATAAACTTAATATGAACTGGTTGACTTGATTGGTGGCTGCTTAATATCACTTAGAATTTTAGTAATGGTTCTTTTTTCAAAAGGTCTTTCTGAGTTTGCAAATGGTGCTGCTTTTTCCCAAGTGTTGTCATCTGTATAAAATTTCTGGTAATCTTGTTTCTGATGCATAGCCAAAGAACTTATCATTGAATCTCTTGGTTTTCATATGTTTTAAGTGCAGCATATTAAAAACAAATCTTACTTGGGAAGTCAGTGATGTGAATAATTTTCCCGACATACCTGTGCTAATGCTATTTTAGCTTCTTGTTGCAATCTTGCTTGTTTCTTGAAGAAATCCTCTTCTCCATCATTTATTGTTCCTTTATTATCTACTGTAGATTTAACATCAGATTTTGTCTGGCAACAAAAAAAAAAAAAACAAAGTAAGAGATGTAGTCACTTCAAAACGAAGAAAAAACATAGCTTATTAATTGCATTTTTCCTAGATGTCATGGCTGAATTCAATGTCTATGCAAAGTAACCTACATATCTTTTTCATGATTGTTTAATTTAAATTGAAATGTGTGAAGGTATACAAAACAGTGTATTACCAGTACAATCTGAATCCTTAACAAGAGTGCACATGCTGAAATATCTCACCTGCTTTACTGATCATGATCGAATTTATGAAGAAAAAGATTATACTACAAATAGTTCATAAAAATTAACAATATCTTTGTTCCATGAAAATGAGATAGAGTCAGACAGGCATGTACACCTTACAATCATTCCAAACATCAAATATAGTTGACCTATTGTTAATAGTATCTAAGATATGGAATTGACCACTCTACAGTTTTTTAAGCAGTCACTGAACCATGAGCCAAAGGACAATGGACATGTGACAGTACAAATTGGAATTCAGTAGGATCCAGAATCTTCCTAGTACAAATTGGAATTCCAATATCTACTAGTAGAAATTGGGATATTCAGATTTTTACTGGGAGAATACTGGATTGTAATAAGAGTGTATATGTTTCTAACATGAAATTTTGTCATCAATGACTATTGTTTAGTAAACGTTAAGCTGCTAGAAACAAATACATCATTTAATGAACTTTATCTACCCCGCGTAGTAAGACAGAAATAGATTACATACACACACTGTAAACAAACAGGTAAAAGTGTGGGAAATGAATGACCAAAACTTTGCAAAAAAAACATGTGCTCATAGATAAACGATCAACGACTACGCGACTATTTTGCACGTACATTGTTTATGTGAACGATGTCAACGTTGACCAAAAAATGACAGAAACAAATGGATTAAACGACTACATGCATAATCGTTTACATCGTTGAGGTTAGAAACAAATGCGCTCCTAATTTCTAGTAGGATCCAGAATATTTTGACACATAATTGAAAATTTAACATGTTTTTATTAAATTTTGTATTCAAAGACATCATCAATGTATTAATTTTATCTGATAAGACAAAATAAAATACTGCCAAAGACAATATTTAAAATACTTCAAAAAAAAATTTGGGTTTTGTTTAAGAGTGTTCTTATAATGACTCAAAATTTGCCAAAATTTAAGTATTCCACCACATTTAGGTATCTAAAATTTGATCAAATGTTCTGAAACACATGTGCACTAAAGTGTTGTTAAAACTCAAAGTACCTAATATGAACTAATGATACTGTGAATTTTATAAAAGATTGAAGGACTTTTAAAAAAAAATCTGCTGTGAAATTAAATTCATAGGAATTTGGCCCTACCTCTTTTCTTTTTTAATTCAGACAAGTTTGATTATATGAATTTATTTCATTATAAAAAATACAAAATATTTCTTTTATTGCGTCTTTTTTAGAAATAATCTAGTACAATCCAGGATCCTCCTAGTACAAATCTGAATATCCCAATTTCTACCAGTATGTATTGGACTTCTGATTTGTACTACATTTCAATTAGTATAATTCAGAATTCCACTTTCTACTAGAATATATTGGAATTTCGATTTGTACTAGGAAGATTCTGGATCCTACTGAATTTCAATGTGTACTGTAACAGATATATGATGAATGGAAACTTTGTAACATAAAGCATCTGTAAACAAGGTATGAAGCATACAGATATGCTCTATAAAGCTTTATATGAATAGTTAAAGCCATCACCAAAGGGATAAGCAGTTTTGGTACGGTACATGTATTTCTGTGGATTGTTACTTGTTATCTTAGAGTGAGAATTGTACATGTATTTCTGTTGTGAGACAAAAACTTATGAAGAAATTGTACAAATCATCTTCAAATTATATTATAGGTTAGTCTGGTATATAATACATATTTTATCACTTTGTTGACTTGACTTTGCAGTTGGTTAAAATGTCTGACCAGTTGAACAGTTTGATTTGATAAAACAAATTTCAATTGGGTCAGAATTTTAAATAAACTAAAATTGGTGGAGAGAAATACTTACAATCTAGTCACTGTGAAAAGTCTAAATAATGGAGGTTAACATCAAATGGATACATTAAAACTTAAAGCTGGAAACTAAAAAATGCTATGTAAAATGTGTTTAAACCTAAAGCTAGCAAAAGCTCTTGTCTTGAGAGACCTTCACCTTTTAGTAAATATAAGGAACAAGACTAAAACTTCTTCTTTGGCAATGGTGATATGGTAAATGATACACTTAGCTAGAAAACTGATGAGGGGGTCTAAATGGTGAAAAATATATACCTCAAGTTCAAACAGACGTAAGCAAATTAACTAATACAAGAATAACATCTAATTTCTTAAGACCACAGTTTCATAACTCAAAACCAACATTTTCAATTCAGACAATTGATACGTAACTTTTCTTTACCTGGTGCACTAAAAATCTACATCCACCTGACCTTAAAACAAATTTTTGTAAGGCCTTTCAAGCAAGCAGTGATAATTACAAGTTAAGATACTTACAACAGATTTTTCTTTAGTTAGTGTAAATCTTAATATCCCACTAATTAAATGCAATTGATTAAAAAAATATAAAGGCAATACACAAAAGAATATTTACAATCTGTAATGGAAATGCAATTGTATGTTAATGTTCACCAGTCCATATAACTTGAAAAGGGTGGGGGGGATGTTATCTTTTGGTTGAAAGATTAGCTTATACCTCTGAAATGACAGGAACAACATCAGGTAATGACACAGATGTCTCCTCCTTGTCCCCTTGAGATTCATTCATGAAGCAGATCTGTAAGTTCATACCAGTCTGTAATTTGGACGAAAAACCTGGTTTCTTAAACATTTCACTTTCAAAGTCATCCTCAACAGGTCCCATTGCCAGCTTTCTACGGATTTCTTCACGATCATTTTTCTGGGACTGAAAAAACATTGTAATTGCTATATTAACTGCATTTTGTTACTAAGTTACTGTTATATATAACCCAATCAAATTCTTAAACAGCGACTTTCCCAAGGGAAGTATATTTTATGATATATCATGTTGAAGGAAACCTGTGTAATGTCAGATGTGGTAGGACAATTAACAAAGCTTTCTCATGGAAAAGAACACCTTCAAAAATAAAATTTATATTCTCACTATAATTTAGACAAAATTTAATCTTGAAAGTCTTAAAAATAATATAACAAATGACTATCACTACAAAAGTTTTTATCATTCCTTACTTCATACACCTCAAATTATTGATTTTTCACTGTTTGAAAAAGATTTTCATCTTTTTTACTGACAATTTCCTATTTCTGGCCCGAGAACACAGTTATTTCGTAGTGCATTTCTTTTAGAGAATAAATTCAAATTAAAAAAATCGCACCTGCTCTATCTCAAAAAGATTTTTACAGTGTAGTGTACTACTATTGATACAAATAATATCAAAATTATAGAAACTTCTACCAGCTCTAACTCAAAATATTGACAATTCTGTGTTAAGGGGGGCTACAATTCAGTTTGACAGCATCAGACATTCTAATTTTTGACCTTTTTTAACTGGACCAAATCACTACTTAACATAAAGATTCAGCACCCAAATTTTTTTAACATGTAATTTCATCCCCTTACTTAATATTTCATGCATAAAATATCAAGAAATAAATTGGGAAAGTGTATAAAAAAAAAATGCAAGTTATACACTGTTCACACTAGGGACTATATTCGTAGACAACGAAAACCAAAGGACGATAACTGTGTCCTTGGACCCTGTCATAACAGGTAGATAAAACTCATATCGAATAGATATGAAACTTGCTGAATAAGCAATTTCTAACATTTAATTGGCAGAGGGAACTCGATCTTAGCCATATAATATTAACACATCACATTATATTATGTTCATGTAAATCTGAATCTCATTGCTTTTATCATATGTCAATAAAAAATATGAGCCCACAAAAAAAAATCATCTAAAAATAATCATGAAATTTAGCAAGCAGGTAGAGCAATGGATTGAAATACAGGCCAATTTACCTTGTTTAAAAAGCTGAGGTCATGGGCGAAATAACAGCCTGTACTGTTGTAAATTGAAGTAATATTTTCTATTTAATCAATTGAAAGATAGCTTTTCTTTCCCTGGTTCACTGGGAAAGGTTTCAAATGATCAATACATTAGACTAAGGTCACAACTTTTCTCCAAATTTCCTACCGGGAATAGCCGACACATGTTGATACCTTATGGATATTATAAAAATTATAAACAAGGAAAGAAATATTTACAGTATGATGATTAAAGGGTGCGAAATTTGGAGATTTGATCATTCCTATGAGGAATCTGGATCTCAGGGGATTCTGACAAAAAAAGAAAGTGTGGTCCCATTGAATTCTGGATGAATTACACAATATGCTGTATGTTGAAAAGGTTGTAAAATGGAAAATTGTAAACAAAATTTTTGATCTGCAAAAGACTCTTTTCATAAACTGAACTGATTCCACATGAAGATACCTAATCAACTCAATCAATTATTCATAGAAAGTAGAAACAAATTTCTTAATATATACTAAAAATCAATTGTCTTATCTATTGAATTACCGGTACTGTTTTTCTTCTGAAAACACAATTACTTTGTGAAAGATGTAATATGACTGGCTTGTGTAAATATTTGTCCTTTAGGGCTGAAATGATTTAATGTTAAAGAGGCTAAAGATTTTTTAGTATCAACCTCTCTTCGTGAATTAAGATCTCTGAAAGGTGTGTCTAGATTCTAATAATGATATTCTGTAAGCTTCAAATTAAAGCGATGAATCGTTCAATATTTATACCCTCCCCTCACTGTTGTTTTTTCAGGATAGTAACTAAGCTCTTTTAAGAATACTTTCACATTTACACATCACCAATGATTTGATTATATGCCTTTGATTCAGAATATTGTCCATATTAAAATCTGGAGTGGTAATAAAGAGACAGATTGGCTGGCTCAAAATGCAAATACCAAATAAATATATTGGAAACTGGTCAGATTACAAATGCAGCAAACAATAAAGCTGTCATCTATTTCATAAAAACTATAAAGTTATTAAAGCATCATTTGGATTCCATATTTTGACATCCTATTTCACAATACATTGTTCTGTATAAACACAAGTCTGATATAAAACCAATATTTGAATCATTTGGTTTTACTTGTTTTTATTTAGTCTATGGATTTTGCTTTAGAAAGGGCCATATTTTCAATTTATTTTATATATAATATTCTATCTGAATAGGGGTAAGAGTTTCAGACAATATCATCAATGTCTAGCATACACAAACTAGTACAAACAGTTTTATTCCATATTAGCAATTTTATTTTATTCAATAACAGGTTCAAAGAATCAATATACTTATAGATATAATTGTGATAAAATTTACGAGATAACTGTATTGTATATATAATTTGATTTACCTAAAACATGGGTTTTACTGTTGCAAAGTGAACCTAGCGATGCATAGCAGAGTTGGTAAACGGATATTTGCGTCAGTAAAACCAAGTTTCATGTAGGCCAAGCTTCAAATAAAATACGATTATCTCTATTCTAATGCAAAATAAACAAATTAGTCCATTTCAGTCATTATTTCGGTGTAAAATTTCATAAAGCAAAAGATCTGTGAAATAATTTTATCGCCTTTAGCAACTAAATGTAAAATTGTGATAAAAATTAAGAGATAACTGTATTGCATTTGGCCTACATAAAACATGGGTTTTACTGTCGCAAATTGAGTTAACCTAGCGACACATAGCAGAGCTGGTAAATGGATATTTGTGACAGTTAAACCAAGTTTTACGTAGGCCAAGCTTCAAATACCTACGATAAAATAAACAAATCCGTCCATTTCAGTCATTATTTCTGAGTAAAATTTCATAAAACTAAAATTCCGCGAAAAGATGTTATCACCTTTAGCAACTAAACAAGGTGACATCATATGTATGCTTCGGCATCACATATAACCACTGGGCGTTTTCAGGCTTCTTGTACGCCTCCTCAGAATGTAATAAAATTAGATAAAAGGAACATTTTAGGTGAAAAATGTGAGATTTTCATTTATTATTATTGAAGAAATAACATGTCAATACATTCTAGAATTCAAAATGTCGACTTCCCTTAGTTACAGACAGGTAGATAGAGGATTTTACACTTGTTGCCATCCAATCAGAACCATTATAAGTTGCAGCAAAAAACTTTTTTTTTCAAAGGACCGTTTAATAAAATAAGATAATTTCTTTCAATAAGATTGTGTGGAAGTGTAGCGGAGAGTGTAACTGTCAACCAAATTGAAACGACAATAAAAAGGAAGTAATTTATTTTAAACATCCAAAGATATTTTTACACTCCAAAAGTTTTGTAAAACCACTGAGTAAAATTCATATGCAGTGAAAGAAAGCAATAAAGCCTGTTAAATTACCAGATGGGTTTCTTTCAATTTCTTGAAACATAAGCTTGGTTACAATGCAATTAATCTATCTCAATCCTGTAATACATTTCTGACTCTGCAATGAAATTCTTGTTTGCCAAAGAAATTTATATCATAGAAATTAATCAACTGTGTTTTCCCAAGGAAAGCTCTTGATTTTATTAGTGAAGATACTGAAAATTAATTCAGCTGTTTGAATTAAAAAGAACTGGAATAATAAGATTAGATTTGAATCTTCAAGGAGGTATCAATATAAAATCAAATATATCTTCTTGTTTAATTGTAGCTGATCATAGAAAACAAATAAACCTTCAAAATGAATTCCTATAAACTCCCACTTAACTGTCTGACTAAAAGTAACAGTTTTGGTTAAGAAGAAAACTGGGACTTTTATATAGTATAATAGTTCCAGAAGAAAATGAATGCAAAATTCCTTCCATAGACCTATTGAGATGGGAACATATAAAAGTAATGCAAGCAAATGATTTGGTTAGATTATCACCAAACCAACCTCTATTGGCTAACAACACAACAAAAACAGTCAGCTCTCAAAAGTTTGTATTGCATCTGAATCCTTACCCATCATCCATTTATTATGTCCCCCAAACATCAAAAGCATTGAAGTTTCAAATCATTTATCTAACTTTACTTAGAGCATCCATTTTCAAACTCATTTAGTTTAACTTGAGTAAAAATTTCCTTCAAATCTAAAATGGAATAAAATTAGATATTATCTGCATAGCTACTAGTATATTTTTTTTTTTTTTTTTTTTTGGCGTTTATCGGCCATGGTGTTTTTGAGAGCATTCTAATGTATTCTTGATTAATTTTGTATTTTTTACAAAGGCTACAATTCCCTTGAGCAAAACTGACTTAAGAAAGTATTGATTATCTTTAGATTAATATTACCATCCCCATGTATTTATACAGTCTATGGTTTTCTGAACTTTTAGCTTTTGAGTATTCCTGTTGAAGAAAAATTCAGGAATGCACTTCAACCACAACAAAACAACTTTAACTACTCACAAAACCATCTGAGTTGAGTGCACTTTGATTTAGATGACAAAATTTTCACATTACATTTGCAGTATACGTATATGAACATGATTTAAGATTTGTGCTGCTGTCAGTTTATCTCTAAACTTGTAATTGTTTTATGCCATTACAAAGTTATCTGACATGGTATCATGGAAAATTAAATCATAAACAATGGGATGTACATTGAAATGATACAATTACAAGAAAATTGTTTCTGATTCCTATACTGAAGACAAATCCTGGGTTGTTTGGTTATCATGTTCGTCTAATGATATATGAAGTACAATCATTAGGGAAGGAAACAAGCCCATTAATGAATCAGAAATTGATTTTTCTTTACAGAATTCTGATTGGAAAAAAAAATTACTGTTCATTTATCAAGTTCAATAAGCTTAAAATTTTTAACTAGATGAGATGAACTATATAATCTATCTTAATCTTC